AGTTAAAGGGATCTTAATATAACTCCTAATTTTAAAGATCATATTTAATAAATAACAAACTCATTAAAATATTTCAAAAATCACGTGGTAAATAAATTTATTAAATATTAAAATATAATATAATGTACATTAATTATTTCCACCCATGCCACCTCACCACCCCATCATATTACCCCACTAAACCACCTTCCCTCCACCTCTCCACCAAAGACAACCATAAGCTCCGACGATCGCTCCGACGGTCGTTCTGGCGATCACTCCGATAATAGTTTCGACTATCGCTCCGTCGACTCCAAAAATTAAAGTTGTCTTCTCTCTCCACAGAAGCTCTCTCTCTCTCTCTCTCTCTCTCTCTCTATATCTATATATATATATATATATATATATTATTTATTATTTATTTTTACTTTTTTTCAGACACAAAAAAGTTTACACATGGTGTTGGTGGGGTGAGTTGGCCCTGTGTTAAAAAATAGATCTGTATGGTGGCAAAGATAATGCATTGGAGGTAATGGAGTTGCACTGCAGTTAATCTATTTGGTGGTGGTGGTGAGGTGTTGGCAACATTTTGAGTACTGTGCGATGGCAGTAGTGTTATATTGTAGTTGACGAGTTTTGTGATTAACCGTGTTATACGTAACCAAAATTATAGTCTGTGACCATACTTGTGTTATATGTGACTAACTGTGACCAGATCGTCTGTGACCAAGTGAATGTGTCACTGACATATGTTGTCGATGACTAATTGTGATCAAATTTGTATTCATTGTGACTATCTGTGACCAATTCAATATATACTGTGACAATTTGTGATCAAGTCACAATCGATCACAGTTAATACAGAATTAGTCACAACTTCCACAATAAATACATAATTGACCTCAAAGAGTCACCATAAATAAATCTTCACACACCACAGCCGAGTACCACAATCCACTACCAATCACTACCACCTTCACCTCCAACTTTACTACATTTACTGACATTTGTTATCTGTGACTAATTGTGACAAATTTTATCTTCAGTGTGACTATCTGTGACCATATCAGTCTAATTTGTGACTCTATGTAACCAAATCATATATAGTCATAGTTATTATAGATCTAACACAGACAGTCACAATGAAGATAGACTTTGGTCATACTCGATTTTCCTTGTCACTGTCATCACTCCCAACAACATCAATCAAATGCGCACCACCATCACTTTCAACAAATCCTAACCATCACCACTGGCATCACTGCACCGGACCACACTACTACCAATACAACCTAATAGCATTGCAAACAATGCCAGCACCATGACCAAGACCACCACCGCCAAATTCAACAAAAATCGCCCCAACCACAATATCTCCCTCCACTGCCACCAACAAAAATCAGTCGCCATCATATCCAACAAAACCACCGCCTCAATACCACTCCCACCGCACCATTACCACAGTTTGAAAAGATCTCATGCTCGATTGCATGAACAAAAAACACCAAAAATTATGACCAACCACCATCAAAATCGACGAAATTCCATATCATTGGATAGCCCTCACTCCCCTCTACACATAACCCAACACTAGCCCTCACGCCACCAAATTTGGATAGAATCAATGGCCAAAATCACCTTCCATGCCCTTTCCATAATACCAGTTGACTATACTCATTAGGGCAACTAACGCGGAGTCCCTTGTGGGTCACCGCTTCGATCGCATGATTCATCAGCTTTGAAAGGCGTTAGCCATCTCCCAACGCATCGTCCCCTGTGGGTCAGCACACCGATGGTAGATGAGCTCTTCACCTAGCTTTACAAACCTCGGCGCAACTGACGCGGAGTCTCTTGTGGGTCACCGCCTCGGTCGCACAACTCATCAGCTTTGAAAGGCATTAGCCATCTCCCAACGCGTCATCCCCTGTGGGTCAACGCACTGGTGGCAAATGAGCTCTTCACCTAACTTTACAAGCCTCGGCGCAACTGACGCGGAGTCCTCTGTTGATCACCGCCTTGATCGCACGTTTTCTCAGCTTCACAAGGCTTTAGTCATCTCCTAACGCGTCGTCTCCTGTAGGTCAGCGCACGATTGGAAGATAAGCTCTCCGCCCAGCTTCATAAGCTTCGATGCCACTGACGCAGGGTCCCCTGTGGGTCACTGCCTCGGTCTCACGTTCCCTTAATCTTTATGAAGTGCCTTCCCCAAATGCGTTGTCCCATTTAGGTCGAAACATCGATGGCAAATGTGTTATTCTCCCTGCAGAATCACCTCATACGACTCAGCGAAACATGAAAGCCCGTCACTAAACAACGAATGATCAACCCAGAGGACGGCCCGCCCACATCACCTCGATTATCACTTGCCTCAACCAACAGGTGTTTAGCACATCTGCTCACTTCACCCTTTTACTCTAGCACCTCATCAGAATCCACAGTACTTACTCCAAGGCCGACATACATAGTTGGGAAAACAAGTCCACCCATGATATGAATATTCATGCCTGAACTTGGGAGGACCACTGTTACGTCCCTAACCAAGCCACTTCCACTTCGGCACTAAAACCACTTCGACAGAAAGGCACATCATTCTCCAAAGCTCTACGTGTCCACCCGAAGTGGTTCCAAAGAGATACCAACCACTTCGAAACAAAGTCACATCACTCTCCGAAGCTCCACGCGTCCACCCGAAGTGGTTCCGGAGTGATGCCAATTCCTATCAACCTCAACATGACGCACTGCAAGGTGAATAGATCCAATGAAGCAACCGAAGTGTCCCTCAACGCCGAAGTGTTGAAGGGCCTGAGGCACTCCCTTAACAGATCCCTCCGTCGCCACTGTCAGAAAGATATCTGTCAGGATCTTGACGTGACGTCTCCATAGATCTAGTTGACATGACACGTCAACTTTATGTTAACTCAACTCAGAAGAACTAATTGCCCACCCACACTAGATGCGGCTGAGTGACGCTATGAGCAGACGCCTCACACCGTCAGATGCATACACGTGTCCCACATCCAACGGTGTTCTACATCTATAAATAATCAAGCAAGAGACAAAGGTAATGAAAGTTCTTATAACTTAGCTCTCCATACTAAGAAACATATATTCTCCTCCCCACTCTCTTGCACCACTGGAGCACTGTTCCAATCACCCAACGCTGACTTAACCGTCGGAGTGTATGCGACCGCCACTACCACTACTGGTCCCGATCGTGTGCTTCTGACCGTGCGTTGTTGTTCACAGGGAGGATTACGTGGAGTAGCTACCCGTTGGCCACGTGGAGGGTCCAAATATCGAGGTCAACAGATTACGAAAACAAGATCATCAGCATTTTTAATGTGCATTATTAGCTAACACTTGACAGTATAACAAACAAGATGTTTCTTTGTTTTCTTCATTAGTATGGTCTAACTAGCTCTTATAAACCTTGTTACCGAACGTGGTGTTTAGACAAGATGATTTCCTAGCTACTATGAATCATGTGACAAAAATTGAGAAAATTAGGATTCTTATCATATCTAGATGCCATGTCATAGCTAATCTTCTATAAGCTATGTTGAAATCATCCTCTACTAGATTCCTTAATATCTGTAAAATGTGTTTTCAAAAGTCCCCAAAGTGTGCTTTTGTAAGTGAAAAAACATTTCTTAAGTCTCTTGCCCACTTGGCATTCGCTGGTTGGTTAATTCCTTTTCACATGGATTTATGTTGGTTGAAGAGTGGGCTGGACAGTTGATCTAATTCAACAATTGTGATTTAGATCCATATTATTTTTTACCTTTGGCTGGACATTTGGACTGGTGGAAGTCTCATTTTCATTCTCTTCGTTTTTTTTTTGGTATCTGACGATTTTGGGATTTTCATGTTCTTTATCTCTATAGATCAGATTGATTGGTTAACTTGTCTTGTATATTATATCTTGGCCTTGTTTGTGGCCTTAGCTCTACTGTAGATTCCGATTGTGGTGTTATTTGTGTATATACCACCTTGACCAGATGTTGTTTTTGAGGTTTTTTGTCCGATGTTGAACTGTAAAGGGTTATACTACACTTGTATTTGGGTATTGTGTCAATTAGGCATAGATTATTGTGAGATCTTTGAAGGGTCGATGATCTACTGTTGAGTCGGTGGTCTGATTGTTGTAATCCAAACTTTTGTTCTCTCTTGAGAGGTTCTTGCACATAGTGATGCACTCTTACCTCTGAGCCCTCAGAGTAGGCGTTTGGCCAAACTGGGTGACCATTCTTGGGTTGATACTTTATTGTTATCTTTGGTGTTAACACACATTTTACAAGACCTACTACCATAATATCTTCATAATCATTTATAAATTTGTAAAGTGAAGACTAAATGGTTCATGCATTTAACCAGTGGTGTTGAACACCGGTATCAACATATCATAAGTCCTGTTAAATAGATCATAATTTTTTGTATTTAATTGAATCTGTAATTTAATGTTACTAGTATTGTCACCTAAACAAGTATTAAATACTAGTAGTGCCATGTCATGACTGGATCAACAGGGGCCTTCGAAAAGTGGTGAACCTTACTTCACCAACCGCAATAAGACTTGGGCCAGCTCAGACCAGTGAGTGAGCTGTTTTTTGCTCTCTTTTCGAACGAGCTAGCCTACGTCAATTGTCCTTGTTTAATACAACTAGGCACACCTCTGCCGCTTAGTCTTTTCATAATACTAATTTAACTTTTTGTTTATGAAAAATTACAATAACACTAATCTATCTAGTTTGTAACCACTGAAAGAGAAATTACTCGAGTTTTGTTGAAAGATGCTCTTTGGGATTGGATCAATTGGATGGGAAGTTCAAAATCATAATCAAGAAAACTGGCCATCAAGTATTTGCAAATGAGGATAATCCAAGATATTGAATGATCCAAGTTAAATTTATTAACTTCATGCAAGATTTAGGTTCGGATCAACCGAATCAATACAAAATACACAAAAGATTTTAACATTTTGAAGTAATAACCCATTACTGAAGTCAAGGTTCAGGTACAAGTTTACCAAGAACAAGTGTCTTTCAAATTGACAGATTATACAATGCTATAATCATAGTAGACAAATCAAGTCCTAACCAAAACGATACCACCACTCCAAAAACACGTCCATTCATGTCAAGACCGAAGATATTAACATTTGGCGATCATTCTCAGATCAGAAAACTTCAATTTACAAAACCTATCAACCACTGACAATGAATCAACAACTATAGAAGGTACAAGCAGCTACAAGCTATACGACATATGCAAAGAAACTGCACATACACCCATCTCAACTAACAAATATTTCCCTATTTACGCTACATCCAATAAGTTTGAAAGACTGTAAAATTTCTAGCATCAATTTCCACCAGATTATGCTATGTCCAAGTTGGATGAACCAGATGTAGAAGCCCCGGCTTCACCGGTCACGTTCTTTAATTTCTGAGAAGGTAACTCACAATAAGACAGAGATTCTGGCACATCACCAATGTCTAAATATTCAGGAAGCTTCTCAGAAAGATCCACAGGGGATAGCTGTAAAAGGAAACAGGATGATTTATATCCGGCTCTAGAAAACAAGGTCTAATTGAGTTGAAATCAATAAACATAAATATGATTATCTATTGCAAGCCCTTAAAGAGCATAAGCTAACTGAATAGAAACAGAGTGACAATGAAAGACAACTCCATTCATTAGAGAACCAACAAATGAACTAATCTTATTAACATTTAAACATCAACTAGAATGGACCCAAAATTTTTCATCACACGAGCACTGCAAAGGAGGCTAAATAATAAGAACTGTGTCAAATGCTAACATTTAACAACTCAACAAATCCTCTCAGAGCGAGAGAGAGAGAGAGAGAGAGAGAGCACTTGAGGTCAGTTCTGCAGCTTCAAAACATCTGGTTTAAAATCATAACTATAAGCGAAATTTTATTCCTAATCCTCGCTCGATGATGGGTTGAGTATGAAGGCTGGTTTATGATAGGCAACATCATCAATATATATAGTCTAAAAGATTAACATGTCATCCTTCTCATACTTCTGTCGAAAGAGTCCATTCCTATTCCTTTCCAGCTCATATGTGTCAATTCACCTATCGATCTTTGTCTACTACTCTTTCTCCTGCAATATTCTACTAGCCTTGAATTGAACCATTGTACGGAAAATCACAAAACGTAAAGAAAGCCATCAATTATTTTCTGAATGAAATCATCACTCCAATGCTACTACACCATCACATCCCCCTACAGTTTGTTCTCAATTATATTTGCTAGATATAATTACTCTAAGATCTTCCACTCAAGTTTACCAAGAATGGACTTTCTGTCAAAAAGTAAACGCACAATCTGTTCATTTGAGACATGGAATCTGAATATCAGATTACATTAGATATACGCTTAATAGCTTCATAAACGTGCCTGTATTTTTGTAAGATATCAGTTCTTTTCCTAACCTATCCTTCAAATGAATGAAGTATTAATCTGTCTGATATATGTTTTTATTATGTGTGAAGCATCATGTATTAGGAATGAGGCCTAACCTTCCCTCTTAGCTTTTCTTCTTCTTCTTCTTCTTCTTCCGTCTCCTGATTCTGCATCACTACGGCCTTCTTTTCAAGCTTAAGAACCTCGGAGAATCACTATGATCATCAAATGACGTTCTCTTTTTACACAATCCCTAAGTCATCTTCTTAAGACCTTAACCAAAGATTAAGAGCACAGCTTTAATCTACGTTTACAATCAACTAAACAGACAAAATTATAACAAAAGAAACAAATTAATGCAACCTAGTTCTCAAACATCAAAACTTTAGGTAGCTCAGTGGTCAGGCCATGAGTTTGCTCCCCAATGGTCACCAGTTCAAATCTCCTTAGGGTCACTGATGTGAATACCCGACTGTAAACTTCAGAGCCCCGTAGGATTAGTTGAGGTGCACATAAGCTGACCCGAACACCCATGATCATTAAAAGAAAACACTAGTTCTCAAACATCAATTAGAGATAGCAATAGGAACATGTTATCAACCACACATAGCATAAAAGTTGAACAAACAACTCAAAAGGGTGAATGCCCTTGCAAATCAGAAAAAAAGGCCACGTGAGAACATCTAAAATTGGAATGCACGAAAACAAGTGAACAACAACCTAAACCTTATAAATATGGGATTGGCTACATGAATTCTTTTTCAACACTATGAAAATCTAAAGTAACTAGATTCCTAGAAACCACCACAACTCAAGTTGTTTTGGTCTTCACCCGTTCTAACATGTTTGACAAAGACTACATCTCTTTTGAACGGAGCTTCTTTAGGCCTACTAAGATGCATCTCAACTATCTAAGTCATCCTACTCTTGATTGGTCAAATTTTTGATTGCAAAGAACATTTACCTCAAGTTGATTCAGCATGTCAACTGCAGACTCCACATCACAGTTACTTGTTGAATAGACTTCAGAAAGGGAATCCTTAGATATTCCAGGAAATTTCATCTGAAGATATGTTATATCCATGTCAAATTCTTCCTCAAGTGTAAACTTTTCAGCCATCGTATTTTGGTTATGTGATGATGAAGCATAGAGTTCACCACCACAATGGTCCTTCAGCTTAGAAAGCTCAGCAGTTTGGAGAATATCAGTGCATTGGATATAGCTTTGAGAAACATTTTGGGGCTGATAATGTGTTAATGCATCCTTCGATTGATCTCCGAACCAGACAGCTTCATTTCCACAATTTGATTCTTTTGTAGAAAATTCAAAATCTTCCCCTTTATCAACTGTCCCCCTTTCAGAGAATGGTATGTATGATGTTGCATTGGGATTTAACTTTGATGTTCCTGGCTTCATGGCCGCACTGTGTAAAACAATCGACACTGGAAAACATAAAAAAGTATGTCCCTCCATTAAGAGTATCTAACAGGTTCTTATTAAAAAAAAAAAAAAATCTATTCATTTCGCCAGGGCCAACCTTAAAATAAATATATGGTGTTGAACTTTGAAAACATTTGCATGGAAATGAATAACTCGAAATGAAAATGACTAGTGGCATACTTAGATCTTAAGATTCAAAAGTGTCTGATATATCCCCTGATTTCAACACCAAATAAAAGTAGCTGTGGACTAGTTTAACTGTTACAGATACATTCAGACCCCTGATAAGATAAATAAACTAAGAAGGTCAAGTCAAGTTGAAAATCGTGAATGTTGACTACAGGATTCCATATGCAATGCTTGGCAAAATCTGGGAGATAAACTGAACTTCAACTTGACCCAGAACATCATGGTATAAATTGACACGCCCTTTTTTGCCTTTCCAATTATTTTTAAAAAAAAAAAATGACCTGTCAAAAAATTTATTTTGTATTTATCATGTCTTTGCCTCTACTTGAATCAGATATTCTGAATACCTCCAAATATTTTAAAATTCGTGATCATTTATTTCTTTTGTTAAAACGAGGCATAAACAGTAGACATATTTTACCTTCTTACGAGGTGGATAACATGTAAACAAACCAAAACAAAAATAAGAAATTTGTCGGGTGAATATTTATCAAGAGTTATCATATTCAGGCAAAATTTATATTTAGTTATTTGACAAATAGACTGCTAAAATTATTTTATTCATGTGAATATAGGTGATAAAAGAGTTTAGAATGCGAATAACAGATGCAGATGAAACACATCAGTATTCCAATGGCAATGGTATTAATAACGGTCTGTCAATTATGTTATAGAGTTTCGGTAAACACCTGGGCATGATAAAAGACTCATTGATATTAGAATTCTGTTTACCTAGCTTCCTCAACCCTTTCTCTCAATAGGATTAAAAGTAAAAAATATGGAATGAGCTAATCTTTTAGTGAAGAGAATTCTTTTCCTCCTCTTCTTTTCTTTTTTCCTTTTTTTAGACACCTGTGGGCAGAGTATTTATTAATAATAATGACAAGAAGAGTGCAAAGCTTTGGAGGTGGACATAAGGCCCAACCCCCAGCTATTGGAAACGGAAATAAATCTTAACCAGGAAAAGCACTGTTAAACAAAGCATTTTTCCCCTCCACTTCATTTTCTTCTCTCTCTTTCCCTCTTTGATCTCATTCATTACTTATACAAGAGTCGCTATCGTTACATATTTCATATTTTCACAACCTATCTTTCAATAAAGGCCAACGTTCTGACCTCTTAAGAATGGATTTATGAGATAACTTTTTAATTTCCCTTATCCAATAAGTTTATCCTATCCTAAACAACCCCACGAGTCATTTTATAAGTTTATGTTTCTCATGAGCTCAAGATTTATTTATATATTTTTTGGGGGGGGAGAGAGGGTGAGGGTTCTTTGGCTTAAGACTTGTGACTTAAAACTTGAAAGTAGTAACAAAATATGAGGCATCATATGACACTGAATATAAAGATTCAATTATTCATTCTATTACTGTTTTGATTTTTATATGTATAGACTCAACATTATTTATGAATATATTCGCAATCACAACAAATTATTAAATTCTGAGTTTCAAGATCTCAATGAAATGGGAACAACTATGTGAAACTGCATACAACGGACAAATTTACCATTCTACACTAATCAGAGACCATGTATATAAATAACTTTCAATAAATTATATTGAATTTATAAAAAATATAAATTTTATCCCACAATAAATTAATAAAAACAGTACAATTTATAATGAACAGACAGAGATCATAACTAACCTTACGGAAACTATCATACTAAGGTATCAGTGTAAACACTAACATACACAGAGCAACGGATATGTAAATAAAAGTTTTCATTTTCTGTTTACAAGTTTTGCAATTAATACATTGAGAAATCTTATAGATCCATACACTTTTTTCTTCAGTAATCCCACTCAAAAATCTCTCCCAGACTCGAAATTATGTCACAAACGCAAAATGACACAACAAATACCTATACATACATACACGTACACAAATATTGACACAAGTTATGTGCGTAATGCGTGTAAGCACATCCAAAATGAAAATCAATGCCAAGGATTACGTGATCAACTTCAATAAACCTAAATTCAGGAGTACGACCGCACGACATTATGAAAACGATCACGAATTAATCAAGAAGTATTGAAGAATCGAAAAAAAAATTGATTCAATGGATTCAAAAAATGATCTCGAAATTTCTTTAATTATATTATAACAGCGAAAGTAAATTCCGTATATTCCTACGAGAAAAATATGGACAAACTCACCAGTAAATTCGGCAATAATGGTGCGAAATTTGTTGGATGAAAACCCTAGATTTCGCGATCGTTTAGACTGAAGAGATTATTTTCTGTATTGGAAGAGAGATGAACGTGATGACGCTTTGCATTAAATGGAGAGGAGAGTGACGTCATTCAGTCGTGCTGGACTAGAGCGTAGATCAGCGTAGGTATTCTAGCCCACAATAAATAGTGAGATATAACGCATACAAATACAAATACAGAGCCCACTCTTAAAATTGCAATTGTTCTTGTGGTAATCCGCAGCACAATTTTTTTATGTTAAAGGTAGTAGAACATACTTTTATCATGATTGCTAAAATTAATATTCGTATTTTAGATCACACTAGGGATGTCAACGAGTCGAATCAATTCACGAGCCAAAATTTTAAGCTCAGATTCGACTCGGATAAAATTTTCGAGCTTTTTTTCGAGCCCAAGCTAGCCTGAACAAAAGCTCGGCAAAAAAATTATGCTCGACTCAAGCTTTCGGCTCGAGCCTTTCCGAGCCCAGCTCGGCTCAGGTTTTGTTTGATTTTGAATTTTTTTAATTAAAAAGGCAGCAAGTAACATTTTAGTTGCTGCTTATTTTTGGCAGCAGCACGCTATCTTTAATTTTTTTTTTAAATTTTTTAAATATATGCTTGGTTCTTTCGAGCCAGTGAACCACACGGGTCAGTTCGGATTTTGCCAGGCACTTAAAAATGGGGCTCAATTTGAGTCTCAGCTCGGTTGTCTCGAGTCTCGAGTCCGACGAGTTTGAACTTTTTTCGAACCGAGCCACGGGCGACCCGAGCCGATGAGCTCGATTGTCATCCCTAGATCACACAAAGGAGCAGAGGAAATTGAGAAATTCACAATCTTAAGGAATTCAAGGCTTTATTTCTGATTTTCGGTTACAATGAAGGAGGAGAAACCCTTTTATAGGAGGAGTCCCTTACAGTTAATCGACACAATCACATGGATTAGTACAATAATTAGATAATCGAACAAACAACTTTAAAACATATAGAATTCAAGAACAATTATTAAACTAGTGGACATACAATTTTTAGCTTCATTGTTTGAGAGAGAGAAATAAATTCTTGGTAATACTTCTAAAGTTGTGAAGTTCTTTCTGAAAGCTATGAAACCATGATATCAACATTAAAACATATTACAATTTGATGTGTTTGCTAGTATTACCAAAATTAATAGGTTCCACTTTATCATCTATCTAATCAAAAGTTGTGTGTTCACTAGTATAATAATTGTGCTCAAGTCCTATATGTTTTAAAGTTGTTTGTTCGGTTGTCTAATTATTGTACTAGCCGATGTGATTGTTTCGGTTGATTGTAGGAGACTCTTCTCCTATAAAAGGGACTCTACTCCTTCATTGTAAGGACATCGAAAATCAGAAATAAAACCTTGAGTTCCTTAAGATCGTGGGTTTCTAAATTTTCTTTGCTTCTCAGTAGGATCCAGAATACTGATATTAGTTTTAACAGTCATGATGAACCAGTAATTTGAGCAGTATCAAAAGTATGCTCTGATATTACCTCTCTTGAAATTTGGCTATTCGTTGTGGGTTAGAATACCTCGATTGCACTTTTCTCTAGTTAGTTTACATGTACTGGTAAAACAAAATATTAGTATAATAATACCAATGAGAAAATGTTGTCCTAATGAATCAGTAATTTGAGCAGTAACAAAAATATACTCAACTATTATCTCTTTTGAGGATCCTTAATATTAGAAATTGTGCTACAGATTATAAGATCTACTAAGGAAATTTGCAATCTTAAGAGTTAGGCCTTGTATTCGTATGTCTCAAATCTAGCTATTTGTTATGGGTTAGAACACCTAAATTGCAACTAAAACAGTTTTCAGGAATCGTTCTGAAATTTTGAATTTGAAAGGTAAATACATAAGCCATACATTCACAATATATTGAAATTTTAGAATTTATCCTATAGTAGTTTAGTCAATGAAGTTGCACACAAGCAGATTGTTGAGTAACAACATCACAATTTACAAAATAAGGCATAACTCATATCGAATTGAAGTGAAACCAAGTCCCGTGGATAGATAATTCGAAGAGATATCGAACCCAACTAGTCTCGATCTCTGTCCAAAATAAACAATTCACGATGTAGTTTTAAATACACATCAGAATGCTGAATTTTCCATACAGCCATCGACCACTCTCCAAGCTAAAATCATTTAGTAAATGTAATGATAAAAGAGAAGGATAAGTACATAAATACACTCAGCGAGTTACTTATAGCCTATCACAACTGATCCGGCCATGAAACCATATAAAGAAATCAATTACCACATCTAAAACTGAGAATTATTACATCATGAACAGAGATGGATACAGGGGGGACTGGGCTGGGCTGTAGTCCCCCCCAAGGCCCAAGAAATTTATTTTTTTTTATGCATTTTTCATTTTTTTTTTTGAAAAAACAGTTTTTTGTGTGTAAATTTTTTTCCGGCGTATTAGTCCGACTTGAAATTTTGTAGCCCGATTTTGGATCCGTCCCTGATCACGAAGATGGTACTTCATGCAAGCATTGCAAATTGAACTTGAAGGTTTAAACTAAGTCTGAGGGTTTAACCGAACTGATACAAGGAGTTCAGATTGTTAGTTTTTTTCTTTAAAAAAAAATGAAAAAAGAACATGACAACATGTAAGGAACAAATTGTGGAATGGAAACTACCTATAATGTCTCACATCTCAAAAATTTAATCTGAAACTTGAAAGCTAAAATACGGATTTAAAGGAACACCACAGTTGAAAATTTCAACTTGTCTTGATAAAGGTTTCCATCTAGAACGTGTGTTAGGGAATGTAAAAGACTTCTATGCCACTTATGTATTTAAATAATTAAATCACACTTATTGAAAGAATATTTGCCCTCATTTTATGCGCACTAATACAATATTTGGACAAAAATTATCTTTAGGGACCAAATGTGCTATTTAACGGAAGTTGAAGGATAAGAGTTCGACAAAAAAAAATAAGCCCATAATTATGATAATAAGCAAGATTGAAGACTTTTAACGTAACTGAAACAATTATAGTGTCAATATAGCTGCCCTAATAAAACATTTTGATCAATGAAATTTTCCCGTTTAATTGTTAAGAAGTCAAATTTTGTATAAAAAAAGGATTTTTATACCTTTATTTTTTATTTCGAAATATAGATTTACATTAAAGTAAGAAGTCACACAGTACGAATGGATGCATAGGAGACTAAAATATTTAGTGTTTTTATTTTTTGGTCGTGGCTTAGGCAAATATATATTTTGGCATTTTAATGTGTTGTGGATATAAATATTATTCAATTAAATTCATTATTCTTTTGACCTTTTGCTACAATTTATTGTACCTCTACCAAACGATAAACTCTTTGATTTAAACAATTAAACTAGTCGTATTATTTCAAAAGAAGATGCAGAAAATTAGTATTTAGTGTGAACTCGTGGCTGACACTAGGAATTTCAATACCTTTGTACAAGAGTAATGCTTTTGGAATGGGTGCTTTCATATAATACAAGTCATAACTTGATACTAGTACAAAATATTATTTATAGAGCCTAGAAAATAAACTAGTATTATAGAAGGCACATCCAAATCAAAAGTCAAAAGAATAATGAAAAGTTTAAATAGCAAAGTTTTAGTAAGGACTTCCTCCAATATTCGACAAGCTGGACTTTACACACACCCTTGTTTGGTAGGGGGCTAAAATTAATTTTTTAGTAAATTTTAATAAAGAGTAATACTATACATACTGCAGTAATCTTCTTATGTAGCAATTTGTTATTAAAAGCATTGACTTGTGATTTGAAGTAACAAAATTACAGAAAACGAATACCCTGTTGATGTTAACTTAAATTGAAATCTAAGTTTCAACCCCTACCATACAGGGACTTAGACATGACTGAATAGGCACATAAGATGTTTGTCAATTGTCGTATTCAATCCTCATTCAATGTACAACAAATTGAATTAAAACTCAAAAACACCTTATAAGCTTAGTCAAATATTTGACATGCTAGACTTTACCCGTTAGCACATAAGATGATTGTCAGTTGTCATATTCACTCATCATATAGAATACAAAAAATAAGCCACTACATCGCATACTTTAGCATACCATGATAATTCAATCATTTTCTAGCCTTCACTTGAAAATTAAGATAGTGATAAAATGCACCTCGATAACAATTTGGACATTGGGCATTATATTTGATAGCAAGAATTGAAAAAACCAAGCAAAATAAAGGAGAAGAAAACACCCCTAAAGCATGAATATATGGCTACAAACCTTGCAACAAATGTCATGTACACTTTACATTTACTAACAACAACAAATTAAGTTACATAGGTAAGCATACATAAATCCTTTATGGCCACTCTATTTAGCTCATTACTCGATCATAACAACTAGATCCTTATTAATCGGAAGTTAGCCAAGTTTAGCCAAGTGAATCAACTTCTATACTTCCGAAATTGCCCTGCAAAAAAAGCTTTATATTTCCCTTCTCATCCTCCTTTCATGTACTTTTTCTCTCTTTAATGGCAAACTACTAAAAATCTATTTGAGTAAAATCAAATCATTCATCTTGAAACAAAGAGAATTGAAAGAGTTTCAGAGAAATATGAAGGGTCTGCACTTCTTAGCTCCAACACAATTGGATACAAACACAAGCAAGGAGGTCAGTTTCTTGTATGCATTCAATAAACTCATCCGCGCAGCCTCCCAATTAATTAATTCCGTCCAGTGAGGATTAAGAATGCAAGACTAATAAGAGAGCTCAATTAACATAACCTTAATGCAAGATGTGATAAAGCATGACGTCCCAGCAGGCAACTTAATCCATCATAACAAAATTCGACAAAATCGATTGTTACATTGTAAAAAGTACAATTACGACACAAACTCATATCTGGAGTTAAAATTATGAAATTAAAAAAGAACTCAATAAGCAAAACTGTATTAGCATGTCCATTTATCATGAAACAAGAGGCTGGAGTACGAAGATTATTTTGCATGAGCAAATAAACGATGAGATACCCAGCTCCATCTGCAATTATTTCAAAAAACTGCCCTTAACGTGCAGGCTGTTGGTTGTAATGATTCTTCTCTTTCTTCTTAGCAGCAGCAAGTTTCGCACTCCTTGCAGCAGCCTCCACGGAAGCAGCTCTTGCAGCAGCAGCCATTTCTTTACTAGATTTCTTCTTCTTTGCAGATGCCGCTTTCTTTAGCCGCTCTTTCATGTCAACAGCTGATGCATCATCTTCCACCTGTTCAGTTCCAGCACTTTCCTCTTGTCCATTAGGAACATTTGAGCTGCCTGGTTGCTCCTGCGGTTCCTTCACCCCTTTCGAAGCTTTATCCTTCTTTTTCTTCTTCTTTGCACCTTTGGATTCTGCAGGGACACTATCTTTCTTTGTTTCACCATTCAACTCTCCCTCTTTCTTTTCTTTTGTAGCATCTGCAAGTTTGTAAAGAAACGAGGCATTTAGCTGGAAAGGTTATCATTTAAAATATCTCTGACATTATAGTCTCACCAATGATAGTCAATTTTTACTAAAAAGTACCACTAGAGAGAATGAATTCATGAAAGTCCACATTGATGTCTCAATAAGATGTAAAATTACCCAAGAAACAATAAAATCAAGCCACAAGGACCAGACATGAAGACAGCAGATCAAAAAGCATATTTATGAAGAAGAAATCTTAAAATAAAGCTGATTCTAGCAAAAGAGAAATAAAAGGTTTTCATGAAGACAAGGAGATACACAATTACCAGATGATTGATCAATGACCTTCTCGTTTGGGGTAACACCAAAATTAGCCAAAATAGCCTCCAGTTCGGCCATCTCTTTTTTCTTTCTCTCCTTCTTAGATAGTTGCCTTTCTGTCTCTTTAGGTGCAGGTGAAGCTTCTGGAGGTTCTATCGGTTCTAGCTCGGGCTTTTCCTGCACTTGCAATTCATGCCCGCGTTCCTCCTCCTCCTCCTCCTCCACATCATCAGCTTCATCAAGATCATCTTCACTTTCACTTTCCTGCAATTCCAACAGACAATCATATTAACTTACCCAATTTATCTCAATTACATTCATCACCTAAAATTCCATGAATGATATGAAATCTAGCCAGGAAATACATTGAAAACCTGGGATCTCAGATTTGCAAATAATGTCATCTTCTGGGATTTCATCTTACCAGAGGAAAAAGATTTAGGCAATTGGATATAGGGCAGTTCTACTAACTACAAAAACCAGTGACATAATGATTGGCTCTATTGTTGCTCACGAGAGTGAGGCGATCTCTGTGTAACATGTTCAAAGAGGGAAAGGTAGACCAACATAGTTTGTCGCAGTTCCTAAGTATCTAGTCTGAAATATACTTATAAGTTAGCACTGTTAATGAACACAAACATACAGAGAGAGGAAGGGAGAGAGGCGTGGAGTTAGGAAATATAAATTCTGCAAGGAAGGTTATAAATCTTACACTAACAATGTATTTCTTGGTGCATTCTTCTTCAGTAATCTAAAACAATGAATTTTTTATTATATTCAAACTTCAGTAACTTCTTTTTGAATGGTATATTAGCCATTTAAAGGAAAAAATTTGATGCTATTCATAACAAATATTGAATTGGACATCAACTTAAGTTAATTTTAGAAGGGCATATAACGCATTTAAAGAAAAAATCTCATTCTATCAGCCAAAAAATAAAATAACTGCTTCCTTACACTTATTAAGAAAGTGCTATTTCCAAAAACTGCATCACACACACACAGAGAACATTAGATAAGTATATAGATTAAAACTTGGCTACTAAATCATGGTCAGGGAATATAAAATCTAATGGAAAGGATAAATATTAAAGAGCAAGAAAGATAAGCCTAATGAATGTACCGATTCACTATGGGAGCCTTTACCAAAAACATCAATTGTAAACATGTCTTAATGATCCAATTAAGGGGCAAGGTCAAATCAATAATTTCAACGGCTTACAGCTTAATCAACTAAATATCCCAGAAGTATCAGATGTATCATGATTGAAGGTATAAATTACTTGCCGTAGCACAAAACACTGAGAATCATCCATTCACCTTTCCCAGTTTTTTTTCCCCTCTTTTCTGTTCAACACCGAGATCGTGTCTCTTTATAAAACATGAAAGAGTATATACACAACAGATGGTAGGGGAAGGATGACAGTGCATAACATCAAGTCATAATTATTCAACACACATTCCTATTATCTATATATAAACTGCATAAATTTCGTTGCTTAGGCAAAAGATGGTAAACACAAGTACAAAAGGGTAAGATAGTGAGCGCAGTTTGGTTTGGGTTGGTTTTGACTCTAACCCGAAACCAAAACCAATTTAGTCTGTTTGGGTGAATTTCAACCCCAACCAACCCACTATAACTCTTCAACAAAACCAAACCAAACTGATTCAGTTCGGTTAATCGGTTGGGACTTTTAGTCCAACCTGAATTTTTTTTAAAAGAAATTTGTCCGAGTTTTGGGCCCAATAAAATTATAAGAACTAAAATAATTAAATAATTTTATATTACAAAAATTATAGACTAACAAATAAAATCAAGTTAAAGAGATAGATCAATAGAAACTTAAGAATTTTGTTACCTTTTTAGGCATTATGTAGTCTGACTCCCTGAGTAGGAAAAAACTAATTACAACATAATGAGCTTATGAAAGAAAATTTTTAGTACTATTACTCACCGACAACATCACCGATTGGAGAGAAGCGTGATATAGTTATGAGATTAAGGCTTCTCTTTTGATTTTTATTTTTCTTTTAAAAAAAGATGAACATGTAAATAAATTGGTTGGTTCGGTTAACCAACAGTTTGAGGCTTCAAACCATGAGTAAACCAACCCACCATGATTTTGTTTAAAAGAAAACCAAACCAAATCAATTACTTGTGTCAAACCGACCTGAGTCGGTTCAGTTGATTGGTTTAATCGGTTTTTCAGTTATTTTGCCATAGCTCCTGGCATAAACACACACATAAACACCAAAAGCAACACCAAACTAACTGGATTCGTTCAGAACAATCATCCACCGACAATATAAATGTGATAAATCCCAATCAATAATTTCGTCAAATAAAGGGGAAAAAACACACAAATAATATAAACATCAGTCTATATATTTACCTCAACGTGATCTGGTTGCATAGTTTTTTCAGTTTGATTCAAACCCGAACCTCCCCATACAGACTGAGGTGGGGCAGTGGTGGCAAAGTAATCATCATCATCTTCATCATCCACATCAGCCCATGACTTCACTGTCAAAGGCGCAGGAGCCCAGTAAACCTGAGGCTTCTCCTCAGGTTCTTTCGATTTCCCAGCCTCAGATTTCAAACCGCTCTTACTGCTTTTCCTCAAGCCCTTATCCTTATCTGACTTCTTCTTCTTCCTAAAATTATCAAGCGCCGCAAAAACATTGTTATTAGTCATCTTAAACGATCCCTCGTCCCTCCGATTCCCACCTCCAACCATTTTCTATTTTTTCTAATAGGCAAGAAAATTGAATAATTTTTCGATGCGATTCGTATTCCCGGAATCCGAGATACTTAACAATCCAAAAGAATAAACAAGAGAAAACACAGAACAACGCACAAAAGACACAAAAATTTCAGACTAAATCGATTTAGAACCCAATTTCTATATATTTGCGGAACGAATACCAAATATCAATAACCCGCAATTATTCACGAAATTCGATTTTCTTCGAGTGATCGACAAATTATGAATCGACAAACACAACTAGAATTACGAGAAAACTATGGTTTCTAGAGAGAGAGAGGGAGGATTTTCAAAATGCGAGGCTAGGCGAAAATTCGAAACAAAGAATCGCTACCGTATATTTTCAGAATGAGTGAGAACGCGAGGATTCTTCTTAGAGGAGAAGGAAAAAGGGCCACGAGATCACGTTTATATACTTGTGGTTTATCGAGGAGAGGCGTATTGTCCGACCCACAAGACAATCGGACCGAATAGCCGGTTTAATTCTAATTAAAGCATTATTGATTGTATTTATTGATTCTGGTACGTGGTTATATAATTGGATTAAGCCCAGCCACTGTAGCAACGAGCCCCATTTGAAAAAAAATAGCAAGGGGCACATCGTGTGTATTCTCACAAGGTCCCCGTACGTCAAGTAGCGTCCTATAAAATTATTTTATTTATAGTTAGTCATTCTCTGTTGGGATAGCTTTTCCCATTTACACTAATTTAGGTATATTGAAAATAGTACACTAGGGATCGAGTCAAAATGGAACTGGTCAGCTTTGGTTTTATTCATTTACGGAACCATGCTAGCCAGAAAAATTTCACAGGATTTTTCCACAGATAAACACATGACAGAATTTCACTTAGGGTCCGTTTGATTGCAAATGTGAAATTTGGGTGGAAAGAAAATGAATTCCAGGGAATTCAATTATCTAGAAATTGTTTTCCTGGAAATTGTCAATTGATAGTGTTTGATTGGTATAATTTTTCACGTGGAAAATGTTGAAATAAAGTGTTTTTTAGTGTTCGTTTGACTTTGTTTTACATGAAAATTGTCAATTTAAGGGATATCCACTTCTACCATTGTTCCTAGAATTTGTTTTCATTGCCAATTTTAAATAAAAATTTTCAATTAAAAGAATATTCTCTTTTACAATTATTCATAGAATTTGTTCCCATTGTCAAAAAAAATTTTAAAAAAATAAAATAAATAAAAAATTGGGTGGAAAATCCAAATGAAGGAAAACAAGGTCACGTGAGGGGAGGGGGGAATTCAAATTCCATGGAAAATTTGGACAATCAAACACTTTAAATTGAATGGACATTTTCCATGGAAAATGGAGTAATCAAACATACTCTTATTTCAATCAAATCAAACAAAAAAATGCACCACACAGATGCTGGCAACTGAGCATTTGTATGGTGCCTGTAAACTGTTTCTTGTACGCAGGAAATTGTTCTTTTATCTCTATACAATCATTACGTACATGTGTCGTATAGGGAATTGTTCTTTTATATCTATACAATCATTATGTACACGTGTAAGTTCACTATTACTGTCGAATTTTTGTTAAATCAAAAACTCATGATTTAGATCCGAGAATGCCGAATATGTGTGCATAAAATGGTTGTGGCTGTTTCCTTATATTTCAATGTAAATGTAATTAAATGGAAGATAAATAAAATAGTTTATTTTGTTTACGATTTCATATTACCTTGAGGGCCTATAGAAGGCTATATTTATGATGATCAAATGTCTCACGTGATACTTGATTGTGTTCGATTTTTACTTTTAAACTCATTGTCTAGTCCTAAATATTTATTCCGTGAAATACATTCTTCAATAATTTATGGTTTGGGCTCCTCAATCTTCCACATGATGTAGATATGAACTCTCAACCTTCTAAAATTTTACCAATTTTTATATTGATCAAACTTCAATTTTAACCACAGTTTTTATCAACTTTGGACCCCATATACCATCAATTTTTATCAAATAAAAGTTTTGTGAAACAATTAGGCAATATTTGTTGGAAATTATTTAGGAAAAATAATATTTTGAGTAGTAAATTTTTTAGAATCTTCGTTTAAAAGGTACAAAGTTTTAAGCTTACGTGCAAAATATTTTATTGTGTAAATATTTGGTTAAAAATGAATATGTAAAAACGAAATCTTAAACAAAAGGCCATCAAATAGTGACTTAGATTCCAACGCAATTGATACCATCCATATGAAGTTAAAAATCTCAAATGATAGTTAGAGGACAAAATTATCAAACACTTAAAAACTTTTTTTCAAATTCAACTGAAAGTTACATGCAATTTTAAGGTTTAAATTGACAATACACTACTCAAGGATGAAAAATCTGTGAATTCACCTCGTCATCTTTGCCAGTTAAAACTCCTTTTGTCTTGCTAATATGATGTTAAATAAGGATTGAACAGGATATATTTGGATGTACAAGGATTGATAGAGTTTCAATATATTGGGAATTGAACAAATTTCGTTCTCTAACTATGTTATGAAAGTAGAAGGCAGTATTACTAGTTAGGAAACTTTAACATTCTCACACAATCAATACGATCCGTTATTCGTTTTTTCCAAACTATAAACAAGTGCATGAATCATCTAGGCACAAAACAATTATTTTTCTATCCAAACCACAATTCACAAACGTATAATAAGTTCAAAAACAATAAATAAAAGAAAAAACAACGAAAAAATGGTATGAATGAGAATCCAAGACTTATCGAAAAAAATGAGAGAAAGAGGCAATTCAAGTAAAAATTCACAAACAGTTATTTTTCTATCCAAACCACAATTAATGAGTGTATAATAAGGTCAAAAACAACAAATGAAAGAAAGAATAACGAAAAAATGGTTTGAATGAGAATTTGAGACTTACTGAAAGAGAAGAGAGAAAAAGACAATTTAAGTAAAAATTAGCAGACAAACAGCAAATGAGACTGACAATTCGTTCACAAGTGGTAGACAAGCGTCAAATGTTAGGAAAATGAGAGTTTATGTTAGGGCTTCTGAAACCTTGTATGTAATTTGCTGACGTAGTTTTATTGAATTATGATTGGATTGTTGAAAGTGCCTATATATATTTTTTTCATTTTATATAATTTTGGAATAATTTTAGTTTAGTTTAAATATTAGATGAGGACGTGTGTCGTGAACTTGTTAAATCATAGACCAATAATGATAAAAATAATTTACTTTCTATGATTATTTCAATAGGCTGGTTGTAATTTGTATTATTAAATTGATATTTTTTTTTTTGAAAAGTGAAAATCGTAAAATTTTAAGTTAATAAAATTAATGTTTTATTTAAAAAATTTTAAAACAGTTCTGTGAGATTTTGTGCGCTTTTTGAAAATCTAAATCTAAACCAAACCATTTTGAAACTGTTTGGTTTGGTTTGAGGGAAAAAAATCACAGGTCCACGTGGACTCAAATCAACGGTTTCAACTCAACAATTTTGGTTTAATTTGCAATTTCGCGATTTCTTTTTGTAGCCCTAATATTTTTCATAAAAAATCTGTCAATCTAACAAGCCAATTCTACCAATCTTTGCGTGGGAACTGAGCAGTTTAAAATCACATTTTCACCAACCTTCTGTTACCATTTCCCATCGTCCACTTCGAATCTGAACCAAGAAAGTTTGGCCAAAATGTAAAGAAAATAGCGAAAATGGAGGAGGAATGATCATTAGACTCAAATTATAATTATGGTAATTGGTAAACGTTACGGGGATCAAGGATATGATTATGTTGGTTTGTATTGGGAGAAAAGTCGATTTGTGTTGTCGATTTGTATGCCTTTGCAAACAAAACTAGATAAGAGAATAATTCAATAATTTTTAGAAGATGTCGATGGTTTAATATAGGCAATCTCTGGTCAAGTAAAATTTTCATTAGAGGAGATTGGGACGATGTATTGAAGGGTACCCCATCATATGAATTTTTTTTTTTTTTTTTTTTTTTTTTTTTTTTTTTTTTTTTTTTTTTTTTTTTTTTTTGAAGTACTTCGAGAAATTTGAATTGTTACGTAGCTCAATCGCGGACTTATTTCACAAAAACTTTACCTTGTTACCAAATAATGAGGTAAAATTTAAATTTCTCGTAATGCCTATTGCATTCTCGAAAGTCTTCTCTGAATTTTTTGTTGCTTTCATGTTCATCTTCTTAATGTAGATACCAAGAATGGAGGCATGGAGCATATATTAAGCCTTCCTGTGCAAGATCCTCCATATGCTGAGTTTTCTGCTGCTCATCTAAATTGGGTTAAAGTAGAAGCGGTTGTCAAGTTGGTGATGATATTGCACTAATCCCTTTTGCTAGAGTAGATAATTTTGTAAAAAGAGAGTCCAGTAATGCAAAATGTCAGCTCGCTTCTGAATTGATTCGAGAAGGAAGAGACCTGAAGGGGGTTTCAACAAACCAAGGGTCGACGGATATCTTGAATATACTCTGTATGCCACTTCTTGTAAGTCGCATTTCATACTTGTGCTTTGTTGAAATATCACCTTGAACTAGAAATTTCGTGTTAATAATCTGGTCTATCATCCAATTTCGTTCTGAATTAATTCATGCTGAAAGCTATTTGTCTTACATTTTTGTAACGTATTCTACCATTGTGAAATCGTGTAAGAAGAAAATTTTAGCAACTTACATTTTTCTTGGATTTCTTAGGTATTGGTGTTGTTATGGTCCTGAAGACTACAGGGAGAGCGAATCTGGTATTGGAGAAAACTCAAGCATTAAACGTAAGGAAGTAGGCCTGGGAGACGACATGTGATGAAAGGATGCCTTTGCCATTTTAGGTTCGTTTTTCTAATTATTTTTTTGGCCTATGAACGATTTTATTTCATCCTCAACTTTTATACATATTAGAAGGGTGATTAAGGGCGTAATGAACTTGTAATTTGTGGTAAATATTATAGGATTATTCTATATGTACAAAATCAATGACAAACTTGACAAGTGGTGGCCCCCTGTTGGTGGAGTGGTGGTGGGGCCAGCCGCCCCACTAACAGGGAGCCGCAACTTGTCAAGTTTGTCAAACTTTAGTAATTGATTTTGTACTTATAGACTAATCCAATATTATAACACCTGATTGTAGACCACATTTGCAAGTACAATGAATAAAACATTCTGGGATGAGCTCTGAAGTGACTGAGAGCTTAGCAATTCCAGAAGCTCGAGGGCCAAAATTCTGGTGTATTTGTCATTTGGTACTAGCTAATTGTCATTTATGCAGAACCTAGCAAGAAAGTGGGACAAAACTAGAAATAATAATCCAAAGGCAAGACTTGCTATTTACCTTCTGCTTTTCTTGAAAATAGTGACTGACTGTAATGCTATTGGTAAAACTGCACATTTTGTAATTTTTTCCTCAAGTTTTTTCCTATCTTTTTTTGAAAGTTGCCAATTGGACGACCCAGGTAATCTCGTAGCGGAAAATAAGACTAAGAAAAGTAAAAGAAAAATCCCTAAACATAAAAGAAGGGAGTTAATACTCCTTGCATTTGCTTTAGCTTGCTGATTTGGAATCTTCACTAATTTGCTTTCTTCCTTTTGACTTCTGCAATATGCTTTGTGATCCCTGTTTGTATTTGACTCTTCTCAGAATCCTATTACAGTTGCCTGGGTCATTAGCTCTAGTTGACCTGGTCAAAGTATTCACAAATGGATGTCAACTCTTGTTGAAAGAACCCAGAAAGGAACCAAGGTGGAAACCTTGTGGATGATCCTTCTGTTGAGGCTTCAGTTATAAGGTAAGTTGCGCAGTTTGATTCTCAGATGTTATATTTCCCTAGTTGTGGATTTGAAACTGGAAAATTTCTGATGCTTATCACTTGTAGAGAAGCCTTCCAATTCCACGTTTTATTATCCATTTGGCATGTGCGTCGTGGATGGTTGAAAAGCATTTTGAAAAATTGCAGCAATTTTGTTGTGCAGAGGGAGATGTTTAAGCACGTAGGCAGGATTTTGTACTGCTCGAAAAGTGGGCAAAATGTGGTTGATGCTGTTGAAGAGTTCGTGCAAATATATGTCAATCAATATGCATTTGTAGAACAATTTAGAAGCAAATGGTTGCCAAAGACAGGTATGGTCGGGTCTCATAAGTTTTTTTAATTTCTGGCGAGGAAACTTTGCGTTCTTTTTCTTGTTAAAATTATTGGCTGCTCAAGTTTATAGGCCGGTTTTTCTTAGCCTCCTACAAAATATGCCAGATGATCCTCTAGTTCTTGAACATGCCATATCACATGTGATATGGTTACAACAGGACATCAAAAGCTTGGAGGAATTGTCAAATACTGGATTACTGCGGTCTTTATCTTCTGATACAAACTTCCAAATGCCAGATAATCTCCAACCTTTTCGGCTTCATTAATCTGCACTCTCTGTCTGAAGTTGCATCATGAGGATCCCCGAAAATGTCAATGTTGAAGCACAATATTTCGTGGGAGTATTGCATCGTAGGCCTTCAACCTATTTCCTGAATATCATTCTCAGCCATTAAAGAGGAGTTATGAGACCCCACGAGGGCATGCAATGAAGTAATGAATATTTGAGTGGTTTTGATTGCTGAGGACTGATTGTGCAACTATAATGGAAGGTTGGCTACCAACTTGTTTGTTGGACTTGGATCAGGGACCAACTTGCTACTTGGGTAATGTTTGGGGACCAATGGTGCATTCATCCCACATTTAATCTCTAGACTAGATTTCAGAAGTGGTCAGATTGGCAGATTTCAGGCGCTCTTGTGAATCTTGAATTCTTTACAGTAGAGGTATATTTTCAGTTACCATGCTGGCAGATACTTCTAATTGTTATTTTTTGCAATTAATGTTGTTAACTAATTATTGGTGCTTCGAAGTTTTTCAAGCTTGTGCACAAATTTTTTCATGCAATTTATCTTAGTTTTGGAGAGCCTATTATTGGCTGCTCAAGTTTATAGGCAGGTTTACAAGGTTGCAATCTTCTGTAGAAGTCGTCAGGTAGCAAGGCCATTGTTGGCTGCTCAAGGTTATAGCCTTATAGGCAAGTTTTGCTTAGCCTCCTAGAAAATATGCTGGATGATCCTCTACTTCTTGAACGTGCCATATCATATGTGACACAGTTAAAACAGGACATCAAAAGCTTGGAGGTATTGTCAAATACTGGATAACTGCAGCCATTACCTTCTGATACAAACTTCAAAGTGCCAGATAACCTGCGCTCTCTGTCTGACCTTGCATCACAAGGATCCCTGAAAATGTCCATGTTTAAGCACAATATTTCTTGGGAGCATTGCATCGTCGGTGTCCAACCTATTTCCTGATAGATATCGTTCTCAGCCATTAAAGAGGAGCAAGCTGGTTCTCAACCTTCCATATTGTTGCCGAATGAGACCCCTCGCGAGGGCCATGGTGATGATGTAATAAATATTTGAACAGTTCTGATTCTCGAGGACTGATGACTTGGATCGGGGACTGTAGAAAACAACAAACCAAAGATGAAGAATGGAGGAGAAAGAGAGAAAACCGATTAATAGAGAAAGAGAGAAAACCGATTAATAGCAGCCTCCAAAATTGGTTGCATAATGTAAGATTACAATGGTTTATATAGTGCAAAACTAAGGAAACATAATAAGATTAAACTACCCTTAACCTATTAACTTATTACTTTAACATCCCCCTCAAACTCACGATACTACGACAAGGAGCAACGAGAGTTTGACCAACAAAAAGCGTAAATGATAAATCGAATTTGACTTCATGGCAAAGTCTACAAGCTGCAACGACGGAGAGCAACGAAAGGTAGGAAAATGATGCCGAACTGCAGATAACTAATGAAACCATACAATCTCAGCTAAACCCACTGCAGATAACCAACGAAACCACACAATCTCAACTAAACCAAACGGATGCAAATTTCAAATTTCAAATGAACTTGATATATCAATTCCAAGAACTGACTATGCCAAATTCCAAACTCCAGATAGACTGGAAAAACGAAATTTCTAATCCCATAAACTGGGCAAACAAACGAAATTTTCAAATCCCGTGAACCGGGCATCAAACGAAATTTTCAATCCCCACAAATTTCAAATTCAAGCTCGACAAATGCCAAATTTCAGATACACGAGATCAACACCAAAACAAATTTCCAATGCAAACTAGGTCCAACATTAATTAACCGACCCAATAAGCTGTCTAATAGTACCAAAGCAGCCCAAATCAATCACAGAAACCAAATTGCTGACCAAAGAAATTTAACCCAAAATTCAGCCCGTACATAATCATCTTCCATAATGCCATAATGAGGAAAACTCCAATTAATCTGCTTTTTTTTTTTTTTTTTTAAGAGACTTCTCTAGCAGGCCTAATTAATTAGAGCCCAACCCTTTTTTTTCTCTCCCTTTTTTTTTTTTTAAACCCAAATGCACAAATTGAAATCCCAAAATACAAGGCCCAAATCCAACATTACCAAACTGCTGGCAATCCACAGCCCACTACTTAGGCCCAATTCAGCAGACCCATCAAACATTTCAAGCCCACTTACTCAAAAATTAAAATACCAGCCGAACTAAAAAAAAAACTAACCCAACAAGCCCAACACAACAATTCCAAGCCAACTTGAACCAACTGGCCCAATTTCAACATACTATAGGACCCAAAACCAATCTACAGGCCATAACCTACGAAAACAAACCTGGCCAAATTTCCTCCAACTTCATTTTCTCTAGGGCTGTGGCTACCTCTCGTCGACACCAACAAAAGTCATAATTCAGACAGAACACCAATTTTTCTTCGATTCGGACAGGCCACAGTTGCACCACGTTCCCAACTTTCAAGTCGTTCCTGTTCAGCATATCTATCTAATTTCCAGTCAGCATGTAGGATACGCTCTCCTTCCCATTGCTTTTCTTCATCGGCCATCTCCTCAAATCCACTTTGTCCCTTATTAGCAAAGGATCAATAATTGGTACAGATATGTGCTCCAGCTTGCCATTGAAGCGTTTCAGAAGATGGACTTTCTCTTCATCCTTGAGAAACTCTCCTACAACTGAATTTAGAGGAATAGAAAGCCGGCTTTGTTGAGGTTCTGTATCAGATTTATAGAGTCCCTTCTGTACCACCAATATCTCCTGTGAAATACTTCTTCCATTGGCCAGTTCTTGAATTGCATCCTTGAATTCTTCAGGTAGCGAAGGGGGAGGATCCGGTCCGGTGTTAATTCTTTTCTTCACAACCCGAACTTCTTCTTCTCCTCCATTGCTACGTCTTTTGGACTTATTATTTTGTTTCTACTTTTCACCCCAGAAGTTTCTGGGATGTCAACTGTACTATTATCGAGATTATTCCTTCTAGCAAAATCTTCTTCCAAAGTAAAGAAGAGAGAAAACCAAACCTGCAGCTTCTCCATTTTTTTTTTCGCAGCCGCTAACATATCACAAAGTTTTGACCACCGGACGAGCGGCACAAGGCCGCTCGCCGGAGAATGACATCTTGCAAGTTTAATCCAAAATCAAACCCGCTCTGATATCATATAGAAAACAACAAACCAAAGATGAAGAATGGAGGAGAAAGAGAGAAAATCGATTGATAACAGCCTCCAAACTTGGTTGCATAATGTAAGATTACAATGGTTTATATAGTGCAAAACTAAGGAAACATAATAAGACTAAACTACCCTTAACCTAATTAACTTATTACTTTAACACCAGCTTTCTACTTGGGCAATATTTTGGGTATCAATGGTTCATTCTTCCGACATTTACAGTAGAGGTATGTTATTTGTGTAGCTAATGTTCTTATCTAATTAATGGAGCTTTGATATTTTTCAAGCTTGCGCACAAACTTTCATGTAATTTATCCTAGTTTTGAAGAGCATATTTTCGTGAATATTCCTTTAACTTGCTCAGGCTTGCCCCGTTAATCACTACCAATCTTTGTCACCCAATTCCCCCATCAGAGTGTACTTGTTGCGTATAACTTAAAAGGTTTCATGGATTATCTTCACTGCTTTTCGTATGCTCTTAGATTTCCTGTTGTACAAAACATGTTCTTAGTCCTTGAATGACATCTGAGGCCTGATCAGCAGTTTAAATTTTGACTAATTTTCTGAAGGTTCGAGAATTGGAAATAGTGGTCTGTGGAGTTGAAGATAGTAGTGGAGGCAGCCATGGCTACCTGTCAACGTAGTGAGTTGATGGTGATATTGGTGGTAGGTAGTTCTACGCAGGGAAGTAGCGGTCGACTGTGAAATTTGATGGCTGAGTTGAAGAAAGTTAAGGGGGGTGGAGGCAGGGTTTGGGACATGCTAATGCACGGAGGTGATGGTAGATGAAGCGATGGTTCTAAACATGGAAACAATGGCCTCTGCAATTTGATGGCAAGAGATGATGAAAGATAAGTAGTGGAGTCGGAGTTGGCTTTCAGACGCGCGATAATGCATGGAGGTGGAGGTCAATTGCTATAGAAATGCAATTAGCCAGTGACAGCACCACCACCATCTTAGAAATAAAACATAAAATATATTTTTTCCTAACCCACATAACCATCCATCGCAGATTCGCAGTAGAACCAACACATGCAATGGGCACCTCGCCAGCCCATCTCCATCCTTTTGCAAGAATCAAATCATAACCCAGATAATAGAGATTTGGTTCCAAGAATCCGAAACCTTTTTATGCGATTTGATTCTTGACACGAATTGTGGAGGATTTGTGAATGTCCAGTTATGGTGGTTGTTATGCTACGAAGGGGGGGTGGTTTGGAGAAAAATATGGGACTGTTTGGGAGTGATTTTGAGAATTGATATTTTAACCGTTAGGAAAAAAAGTGAGCTCCACCTGTGAGAGAAGAAGTCAAATATGATGGGGGCAGGGGTGGTTTGGAGAAAAATATGGGATTATTTGGGAGTGACTTTGAGAATTGATATTTTGATCGTTACGAAAAAAATGGGGTCAATCTGTGAGAGAAGAAGTCAAATATGATGGGTAAAATAGTGAAATAACAGTCAAAATTTTTTGGGCCAAAAAATCACTCTCAAACAGGCCGTATATGTACATATTTCTTGGATTAATTTTTGTAAGGTGATGGTGGTACCATTGTCACCACCAATATGACTGCATTTGTGGAGATGATATTTGGCCGCTGAAGGGTGGGCGTGGGGTAGGCGAGTTTGGCGATGGAGTCGAAATATTTACTTTTTAAGATTCTTCATTTTTAGGTGTTTAATTATTTCAAGTGTAATTTATTTGTATTTTTGGAAAATTATGGGACTATATTTTCAATTATTCCTAATTTTTGTTGTTTTATTACTTTCTTTTATTTCTGTTTATTTAAAAAGGAGATCAAGAATGATGATTTTTTGAAATGTTGGGACAGATAATGCGAAAGAAAAGATCGAGGGTATATTTATCATATTTTATAAATATTGAGGACGAAAAGTGAAAAATTTCCTTTAAACTTATCCATTTCATCTCAAGTCTCAACTTTATCTTCTCCAACAATTTTCTCCCATAATCGGACACGTAAAATTTTTTCTAATCAAATAATATTAAAAAATCAATTCAATAATTGTAGCATCCTATCCTACCATACCCTAGGTTACAGAAAACGATATCACATAATGGATAAACATGATTGGGTATTATTTTTAAATCCGCGTCTTAATCCGTACGCGTCAGCACCTGGTATTGATTCGGTGGGGCCGTCATGACACGTGACAAAATTTCCTTGCGGTAGCACGCGTCGTGCCAAGAACCAGTCGTTTGTTAATTACTTCTTCCCGTTGATTTTTAAAACCGACATTTGACTTGAGAGATAGGCTACGATACGCATGGTTCCACTCAAATGATTTCATTCACACAATTTAACCGGTGGGCATTATTTGGAAAAAGAAATATTTTAAATAGTAATTTTTAACAAAATGTGTGATTAAAAACTAGAAAAATTTCATGGTTACATATATTATTTATTTGTATAAATGTATGACGAAAAATGAGTATTTAGAAAAAATAATTTTCAAATAATGATCATCAGAGCTTACTTCCCATTTCATAAAATAATAAATCGTCAAAATTTAGTGCTTGTTCGATAGGGATTTTGATAATTGATTTTTTAACCGTTAATGATAAAGTGAGTCCCACCTGTGAGAAGTAAATACAAAAATGACGACTGTAATAGTGAAATAACGATCAAAAAATTAATTTTAATTGACTTTTTAGTTGTACTAAACAAGCTCTTAATTATAACCACACTTCACGATGAATCCTTAAGTATTATTTATCATTTATTTTTTAATTTATTATTTTATTTACAAATTAAATTATTCAAACATATGATTGAAAATTAGCACTCTCATTGTTGGCAAACACTCCAATCATCAGCCTATGCATGATAATCATTCTTTGAGAATTTTTTTGGGAAAAAAATCATAAATCTGATATTAAGTATGGAGAATCCAAAAATTAGGTTTTAAGTTTATGAAATACAAAAATCATGTTTATTAGTTAATTAATTAAAATATTTATAAATTAAATATAATAAAGTCACAGTTACACGATTAATGGTCACGAATTCATAATTATAGGTTGTAGATTCATTAACTGGTAACATATCGTTAAATTAGTTGGTCACAAATCAAAAATTTTATTGGTTACAGATTATTTTGAAAATTATTTCGAGGTCATATATCATTCAAATTACAGGTCAAATTTTTATCTATTGGTCACAGACGCCTAAATGTTGGTCACAGACACCCCCACCCACCTACCACCACTGCAACAACAACTACCAACATCATCAACAACACAACAATAATTGGTCACCACCACCGTCAACAACTTCACATGTACCTCCAACAAATATTGCCGTCAGATCCACCATCACCACTAATATCTGTACCTGTACAACCAACAAAAACTATCTAAAACCCCCCAATAACACTAAAACAACTCCCAAACCACCACAACACGACGCCACCATTGCTGAAAGCCATAGCAGGCCCAAACCACCACTACCACCACCACAAGCTTCGACACTGCCATCACCGAAAATCACAGTAGCCCCAAACCAGCTCTACCACTACCACATCCCGAAGCCGACACTACTGAAAATCACACCGGAGATCATAGCGACCAAGTTTTTAACACCACAATGCTTACATTCCTGACAAGCAGCCTCCACCACCACCACACCCCAACGTCTCCATCTTCGAAAATCACAGCAGTCCCAAACCACCACTAATACCACCACTGAAAACCAGGCAGCTCTAAACCACTACTACCACCATCACACCTCGACGCCGCCACACTAGTTGCTATGGTGACCGCACTTGGGGAGAGAAAAAGGCATCGCCGTTAGGTGGTAGTGACTGACAAGGATACAGTGAAGTTAGAGAGAGACGAGAGAAGTGAGAGAAGGAAGATGGATTAAAAATGATTAGGGTTTGGGAGTTAATTTGGATATTTAATTATTATATCAATACCTGATTTTTGCATAATAAAACTTGATCCATGATTTTTGGATTGTGATCTTTAAATCCCCGCTATTATGTAATTTCCACATTTTTTTCTACATATCAATTTTCAATCATGTACTTACACAATAAAATATTTTGTACGTAGATTTAATTTTTTTCTTATTTTTTAAATATATATTTCTTAAAAATGACTATTCAAAATATTATTTTGACCAAATAATAATCATCAAATAGTGGCTTAATAAAAAGAGTATTGCTATTTAACCTCACTGGGTGATACAACGTGATATTAATTGATAGATTCATTTAATTTCACATTTCATTTAAGCTATTATTTAATTCCATATAAATTTAAAAAAAATTCTTATTTTTTAAACATATATTTCTTAAAAATGACTATTCAAAATATTATTTTGACCAAATAATAATCATTAAACAGTGGCTTAATAAAAAGAGTGTTGTTATTTAGCCTCACTAGGTGATACAACGTGACATTAATTGATAAATTCATTTAATTTCACATTTCATTTAAGCTATCATTTAATTTCATATAAATTGATATTGCAACCTCGGTGACACTACGTGTCTTTGCAATGGTTTCAAATATTTCTATCTTAAAAAATATTAAATTAGTCACATTTGTCAACCAAGCAAACTACATCGTTAATGTCTTCGACACGTAGTCAATGAATTGGAACCCTCCGGAAAATTGCATTTATGGGTCTCCATTGAATTCAAATTTTGTACGTTTTCTTTTTCAGCTGCCAGCTATATAAAGCCCTGTCTTCCATTCCCACTCTCCAAAATTCCTGATTCGTAATCTCTCTCTACAAAAAACGCGCACTCTCATTTTATATATATCTAGATACGCGCTTGTGTGTATATATAGGTGTATCGATCTCTGTAGCAGTCTGTTACTGTGTATACAAATTTGCAGGGAGGATCGACGCTAAAGAAATTGATCGGAGCTGTTCGGATCGCGATCAGGAGTGAAAGTTCGTTATTCAGATAAATTTTGATGTTATTTTTCTGTCTTTCCTTGGTGTTGTTATGACTTTGTGTTGACTTTGAATTTTAAGGTATGAATTTTGAGGAAATTTTAAAGATTTGAGAGTTTTCGTGGACTAGATGTGAAAAAAAAAATGTGGAACTAAGTCTTCTTGGTTTACGAGAGAACATCTGGGTAGAATTGACGGGAGATTCGAATCTTCGCTTTATGTGTAGTTATCACTTGGATTTCTTCTCTTATCTGGTTTTCGGATTTCTTCCGAATCGATCTGAAAAGAAGTTTTACTGTTTTTAATTTTTTGATAGAATGGTAATGGCTATCAAACTGCATCTCGCTTGGATGTAACTGACTTCTCTCTCTCTCTCTCTCTGGGAGAGCTATGCATAAATAAGTGTTTGTTTCATGTTATTGTAAATCGATCACAAGTACGTAAATTTGGTAAATTTCTGTCTATGCATGTATCGCTGTTGATTTGTATGCCTGATATTTACGAATATCTGGTGTATATGTAAATTTTCTCATGAAATGTTCAAAATTGTTCGATTCAGTCCCGATGGATGTCCCCCAACTCGATCCTTAATGAGGCTCGGCTTGTTGAATTAGGATCCGTGTGTCCTTGACTTGTCCTCTTGTTGATCAAGTTTTTTTATTAGCTTTGGTTAATTGATGGTTCTTGTGTGTTTTTGCTTTTACTGACTTGTCCTCTTGTTGATCAAGTTTTTTTATTAGCTTTGGTTAATTGATGGTTCTTGTGTGTTTTTGCTTTTACTATACGGTTAAAAGAATCCAAGGTGCTTAAGGATGGAAACTTTCCTAGATACAATTAGTCACGCGATATTGCAGGAGCAATATGTTTAGAATCGAGTATGATGCATTTATCACTTGTCCAAGATAATTTTTGTGATTATGGGGATGAAAATACATCTTCCTGTCGCATTTTCTCCTAATCTATTGATATTCTAACCAACTAATTTCTTGCCATTTAGTTAACTCTATGATCGAGTTTATTGTGGAAATGACAAATCAGGTTTATCGTCCAAGTGTCAGTTGCTGGTGGATCTTTACAGTGTTGGATCCACATAGGATTGTTTGTAAATCTTTTCGACCTTGGTTCCGTAGGAGCAAGTTAGAAAGATTGAGAGATAGAACCATCCGATTTAATTCGTTCTCAATAGTCATGAAATGATCATCTGCTTTAGGATGGAAGCTTTCCTAGATACAATTCGTCATTCAATATTGCAGGAACAATATGTTTAGAATTGAGTCAATTGACTGATGATGCATTTATCACTTGTCCCAGGATTTTTGTTGTGATTATAGGGATGACAATATATTTTCCTGTCGCATTTTCTCCTAATCTATTGATATTCTAACCAATTAATTTCTTGCCATTTAGTTAACTCTATGTTCAAGTTTATTGTGGAAATGACAAATCAGGTTTATCGTCCAACTATCAGTTGCTGGTGGATCTTTACTCAGTATAGGATCCACATAGGATTGTTTGAAGCAAGAACTTTGATTGTAATTACTCTTTTTGACATACTTTAGGTCACTGATGAGAATTGATGTACGTTAAGTGGCCAATGCTTCTATCTATATTGTTATTCTATAGATAAAACAGACCATTTGCGAACTTAGAGATTGTTCGTTGGATATTGGATTTGCAATCAAATTAAGATGAACTTCGACGCCCACTATGTTTTAACAGGCTTGACGTGCCATATTCTTTTGTTTTAGTTCCTGCCATCCACTAATTAAGACAACTCAGCTTATTTCAGGAAGAATTAATCATTATTGCTGCTTATATTTTTAGAACTATTCTTTCATTACAACCAGCCAAATCTAAGTGTTACCTGACCCTACATAATGTGGCCGAATTGGTTTCCTACTTATAATGGAGTAAGTGGTGATGAGCTCTTGAAGTAAGGGTCTAGTTGTCTGGAAGAGGTAGAGAGATCCTTGGTTGCATAAGGCTCTCATTGCTGGACGAGCTTGCAATGTTACAATATCATCAGCTAGATTAGACAGTAATAATAACAGAAACAGTAGACATGCTAGTTTTGAGATTCGTGGAAGACACTAAGAGAATAAATTAACATGGTAGTAGATAGGGGAGAAGTCTCTCCACCTCAAATTAGAGGCCTTTTTTCGTCATTCCCTTCTTTTTCTTCTTTCCCCATTTTAGTGTAAGTTTTTCCTCAAAGAAGACATTGCGGAATCATGGATTGAGGTAGGCCTCTTCTCAACGAACAAGGAACGTAACTGGTCCTACAAACTCACAAACTCCTTTTTGTTCTGTCTTAAGAATGCAGTTGATACATTTATCTATTTGCTTTGACCATAGGTTGAGCTGTCCATGCTTAGATGGATTTGGACTCCAAGAATCAAGTGTTGTGCAATGGTTACTATCCACTGTTGGAAGCTTTGGAATTGTTGTAGATCTACTTGTTTTGATGAATTCTCCTACTTGGAGTTTCCTGGCTGGAGCAGTTCAACCTTTGTTGGATTTTGTTGTTGCTGATTCAATTGGTCTGCCGCGACATGCAAGAAAGGCGTGGCGACCTGAATAGATATGCATGAACAGGCTTAAACATCTCCTAAGTTAATTTTTGAATGCAGGTGCTTTAGGACCATTCCAGCTGCTAGGTACATTTTTTCCAATCATAAGATAAGATGGCTTCGATAGCTGTTGATTATTCTGGATCTCCACATTTTGAGCGAAAACCCCAACAAACTATATTCACTGAGAAAAACAACTTTGAGGCCGGGGACTCAGACTCGCAGCAGTTCCATGAAGGGTGCATTCCTGCTAAGGACTTGATTTGTCGGGAAAAAGTTAGTAACACGGAAATTCACAATAAAGGATACTTGGAATATGGGTATGCATTTGTGGCTGTATCCATGGCTATTTGCAATTTATGCATCTGCTAAATTTTTTTGCTAATACTGATGATTTCTATTGACAGGTGTTCCCATTATCGTCGAAGGTGCCGCATCAAGGCACCGTGTTGCAACGAGATTTTTGATTGTCGTCACTGTCATAATGAAGCAAAGGTAGATGTCTATCAATTCATTTTCACCGAAGGTTTACTTTGTGTTTATTTCTTTGGGTTCTATCAGATGTGTGTATTTGGCAAAGATAAGTATGACTCAAAAATGGCATTCTATGTGAAATAAAAATTTCGTGAGATCAAAAAATTCAAATGCTAAAAGTTGTACATTGTTTTGAAATTTCAAGGTATAGAACACTTATTATGAATCCCCTGAACCGGTCATCTTTCCTTTTTACGGTTTCTTTTTCAGCTTTTGAGGGGTTTGGATTACATTGAATTTAGAAAATGGGTCCGTTGTTTTTTGTAGTCTTTTAAATATTGCAAAAGAGTGACATGATGCTGATCATATTTTATCTTGGTCAACAGAACAATATTTGCATTGACCAAAAGTTCAGACATGATGTCCCTCGCCACCAAGTACAGAAGGTAGGCTTTTTCTCCTGTCTTAACCCGTTCCACTTGTTCACATGTTATGTTCCCGAATTTATTTCTTTTACCGTGTTTTTGTGCCCTTCCTTTTTCTTTCATGCTTGAAATACTGGAGTTGATCTTAAAATGATTTTTCTCTGTCTTTTGCAGATCATATGTTCACTTTGTGACACTGAGCAAGAGGTTTGTTTTGTGAAGCGTGTGCTTTATTATAATTTTCTAATTGAGATTCCTGGCCTCCCTAATAAGAACACTGCATTGAGTTTAAAGGATGAGCTTTACAAATAGCTCCCATTTGTTTATCATTTTTGGAAGAATGAGAATGAAAAATATAGTCGTTACGGGCCCCACACAAGAGATAGAAATTCAAATTTGGTGGCTTGATGTGATGGATAACGATCATATTTTTTATTTTAATGAAGAAATAATGGGAACCAAACACGGGCTAAATATTATCTGGGTCAAGGCTTCATTAATTCATTACTTGAGACCTGCTGAATATTTGGTTGAATTCTGACTCTGTGTGTGTGTTGGGTGGGAAGATGGCCTTCCAAAGAAATTTTTTCTTTTTTCTTTCCACAGTTTTCTTTTTCTATTCAACTGAAATCTTTTTTCCTTGTCCCGCGGTTATTCCAGGTTCGACAATTTTGCATTAATTGTGGTGTATGCATGGCTAGATATTTCTGTGGAATCTGCAAGCTGTTTGATGATGATGTAAGTAACATGCATCCTCTCCGATGATATAGACCTTTTTCTTGAACAGTAATTATCTGTTTGGATCAACGGGTGTTGATATTTAACCGGACACAACCTGTGTCAATACTAAAGTACTTGGTGAAATGTGAAATGTTTTTATGATGTAGACTGCTAAGTTGTACACGCTGATAACAAAATTGAATTGCCATTTGTAGATCTCAAAAGGACAGTTTCACTGCAGTGGGTGTGGCATATGCAGGTATGATTGCAACTCCAGACAAACCCAGCCCTCCCATTATTTCTGATATCACCTTTAATTTAGGTCATCCTTGCTTCTAGATATTGTTCTTTTGAACTAGATGAAAATCACAGTTCCCCAAAAAAATATAAAAAAATAAAAATGTATGACAGAGATGGCATACCACGATAGCTGGAAATTATAGAATAAAAGTAATCGAGGCAAAACACGAAGAGGAATGGATAACTTATATAACTGTTGTCTTTTATACTAAAAAGGTTAAAGACTATTTAGATGATTCCTAATAACCTTCGAAGGAAATAATCTGTTGACAAAGTCACTATTATGGAAATAATCACATAGAGTTAACTAGTGAAACACCTTGATTTCTGGACTTTCCAAGATATTCAATGTGTAAGAGGAAAGAAGACTGGTGAATGAGGAAAGTCAAATCTTCCAACACTGACGATTTGTACCTTGGAACGAGGGTCACTGTCAATTCAAACAAGAACCTTGATAATCAAGACACACTTTAATGTAAGACATATAATCGCCAATTAGTTTTTCTTGTTAACATTTTGAAGGAAATTTTCTCATTAGTTAGTCGAAGGATTTCATCATATGATTGTGAGGATGCATGATTGTGTTTGGTTTCCTGCTGCTAACAATTACTCTGTTTCAGGGTTGGAGGGTCTGAGAATTTCTTCCATTGTGATAATTGTGGTAGTCTACCTCTCCCTTCACACCACCCCAACTAAAAAAATAATTTATTACGCATTTATGATAAGCGTTGCTTCCTGGTTCTTATCGTCTTCTTTGCATGTTATCTAGGATGTTGCTACTCGATCCTTCTGAAAAACAGCCACCCCTGTGTGGAGAGAGCAATGCATCATGACTGCCCTGTATGCTTTGAGGTAAGAACGACATTTAATTTGTCAATACTCGAACTTTCTTTCCCACTTTATGTAGAGTTCCTTTTGCGAATTTATTATCTCTTAGTGCTGCACTGATGGTAAGGTCCTTCTCTCCAGTACCTTTTTGAGTCGATGAACGATGTAACTGCTATGCCATGCGGCCATACCATTCACCAGAAATGCTTGGAGGAAATGCAGGAACACTACCAGTAAGTGAAGATTTTACATGTTTTTTTGTTCTCTAGGCCCTGTAGAGGTTATAGTTTTGTTATAACGATTAGAAATTGATTGATTGTTGAACAGATATGTTTGCCCTCTCTGCTCCAAATCAGTTTGTGATATGTCAAAGGTGTGGGAGAAGTTTGACCTGGAGATTGCAGCTACACCCATGCCAGAATCTTACCAGAACAAAATGGTATCTCTCCTCTCCTCTCTTTTGTCCCTCTCGTCTCAAGTCTTCCATAAATGTTGTACGTGAGAAGTCATGTCGAAAACCAAATTTACGTAAATAAATGTGTCCCTTACTTGAAAACCTAAGCGTGTGTTATATTCTAGCATACACAGAATGCTGATCGAACTTTGATTAACAGGTTTGGATTCTCTGCAACGATTGTGGAGCCAATTCAGAAGTGAAATATCATGTTGTGGCCCAGAAATGTCCTAATTGCAAGTCGTACAACACCCGTCAAACCAGAGGCAATAGCATATAGGGATATATTCACTCTTTAGTGCAATGAAAGCAATCGCTTTTGCTGGAAGCACTTTGGGTTCTCTCTCCTTTTGTTAACTTTGTGTCGTAGCTTTTCAAAGTTGTTATTCTTTTATTGAATTTCATCTATGCGTGCTAATGATTCAGAAGTAGAATAAGTTCGTTACTTTTGTCTCCTTTTCTTTAAAATTCTTATGTTCTTGTACTCATTTTTGAGCAAATATTTACATAATAAATATTTACTCATAAATTTAAATTTTTTCTTTATTGTTTAATTACATATTCGTCAAAAAAAAAAATCACTGGTCATAAATATTTTTTTTCTCAAAGGCATTTTAATTAGGAATTTGAGTAGAGGCTAAATTTTTTGCTAATTTTTGACTTTGACCGCAATCTCTTCCATGTTGTACGTGGTATAAGGACACGCAATATCATACAAACAATTTAAATTCAGATGGAAAGATCAAATCTTACCGTTATGATTTTCCCTGCACTAAGCTATACCTTCAAATTTTGAACTCTTGATTTTGAATGACAACACGTTCTTGTCTACGTTGAGCCTCTGAGTTTGAGATTTAAGTGAGTTGGAGATTGTATCATGTTACAAGTATAGAATTTTTTAAAAGAAAAATTTTACAAACAACACATAATACGACATTATTCAAAGATGAAAAAAAAAAAAAAAACAGTGAACTTATATTTTGTCACGTCATTGTTGGTACAAATTTTGTTAAATTTTTTTTGTACTTATAGAGAAGAATTTAAAGATCATTCAATACTGAAAACAATAAAATCCTAAGTACACAAAAAATTTTAATAGAATTTGTACCAACAATGACATGGCAAAATGTAAGTGGATTGTTTATTTTTTTCATCTTTCAATAATGTTGTGTCATGTGTTGTTTGTAAAAATTTTTTGTTAAAAAATTCTGTACTTGTAGCATAATTCAACTAAAATGTATGGGTTTTCCTAATGCGACATGGTTGGGGATAGGCCCTGTGATGGGGACCACCTCAACCCTTGACACCTAATGTGTTATCGACAGTATCTTAGATATTAAACTCAAATCAATAATTATTTTTTTTATTAATTTTTTTCATTATTCTCGAAAAAGCTCGCTCGGTGATTTTGCTTAAAGGGCTTGAGCTGCCACTATGGCGAATGTATGCATGTGCATATTATACACGTGTAATGTGATCTGAATCATTTATGTTTAAATTTATTTTGTTAGTTTAAAGAATTTTCTTTAGAAGAAAATTTATTTTTTGTCAAGTTAAAGACCACAATATTATTTATGTAGGATAAAAGTAATAAAGAATTATTAATATTTTATTAACATTTATTTATTTATTTTTGTTCGTTTCAGAAAATTAATCCATTAACCCACCCACGATTTTAATTATATTTTCTTTTATGTAGGTTTCTTAATAAAAGCCATGTTTAATTCAGTTTGGAGTTCTCAATATTTTGAATATTGAATTTTTGAATAATGTAATTAAAATGTGGAGAAAAATTTTGAATTTAAAAGCAAAATATTTTATTATGGAAATTTGTGATTGAAAATGAGTATGTAAAAAAAAAATGAAATAAAGGATGTGCAATTATTAAAATTTAAATTAAAATCAACAATTAATTTTAATCACATATTTCGAAAAACCCACTAGTTACCATGCTCTTCACACAAGATACCTCAATTCTCAACTGGCCTAACAGAAGACATATCCATCAGGTATTCATCCGACAATCAAATGATAATTTACAAAGATCACGAGGAGATAAAGTTTATCAGATTGAATTGTACAATACAAAATACTTTTGAAATATGTATACAATTGAAACTTTTGAAAACTTTGATAAACTTTTTTTAAGCGATGATTTATGTGGATTTCGTAAATTTGTATTGAATTAGTAAAAGTCTTTCATTGACTTCTATAGATTTTCATTTTAAATTTTTTATAGACTTTTGTATAATTTAAAAGATTTTTGAAGACATCCATTTAAAATAAAATTCAATTGAATCCCAGTATAATAATGTGAAATTTTTATATACCAGGTGGTGATTCTCACAATTTTCCTTCCCTTCCCCATATAATAAAAAGTTATTTTTAAAAAAATGAAAAGTCAATGTATTTAAATTTAATTATAAATTCGTCATGTGAAATTTAATAAAAACTAGATATTTTTCCCCAAAAAAAAAAAGAAGGAAAGAAGGAAAAAAAATATTTATAAGAATTCGATTTAATTTTGTCACAGAAAATTGAGATAAACAATATGAAAGAGAGAAATAAAAAATAGAAATAAATATAATCAATAAAAAAAAATCATAACTCTAATGTTCGTAGATAAAAAGAAAGAGAAATATTGAAGAAAATACATAATAATAATAATAATAATAATAATATTATTATTATTATTTCTGTGGAAGTTTCAAAATTTGAGATTTTATATGAATATTTTCTATTTAAAAATTAATATCCTAAAGACTTTTATAAAAATCTCTAGAAGTTATTAAAAAATTTAAATGCCCCAAAATTTATATAATTAAACACATCATGATTTTTAGATACATTTTAAAAGTCTATTAAGATCTAAATTGAGTAGATCAATATTTCTAGAGTCTCTTAAAAAAATCTACATTAACTACCCCAAACTTTTTAAATTCCACAAAGTTATTAAAAGTTTTAACTGAATACACCCCCTTTAACTTATTTTTCTTCAATAATACCTTATTATAAACATATATTTCTTGACCTTTTTCATCACGTGAAAATTTTACTTCAAGGAGATGCTGCTTTTTTAGCTACAAGCATAAAAAGGCACCAACTACAAGCTTACAACGTAATGACAACATGTTTGAGTAGTGTGTATAAACCATTTTAATTATAAATAGATAAAAATGATTCGTGGATAATATATAATATTTATAAATTCCTTGAAATATTTTGATAAAAAGTTATTTGAGTATTTATAAATAATCTATAAACACGAGCCAAACATGAGCTTAGTTTCAATCAAGAGAAATAGCCAACATTAGTGCAAACGTATATAAAAGATTTTCATATTTTATGCTTCTCACTAAATACCATCCGTGAATCTCATGATAAGTACCTAAGCCCCTGTTTGGGGCACATTTTCAAGGAAGGAAGTAGAAAAAATTTTACCCTTTTTTTCAAATGTGGAGTCCACTTAAGAGAGAAAAAGTCAAATATGGTGGCTGCATAGTGCTCTCCAACAGTCACAATTCTCATTTTTTTGGATGAAAATGTGCCCCAAACAGGGGCTAAATATTCTTGATGAACTTCGATAGGAGTTTTCCTAAAAACAATAACATGATCTAGTCATACCTCTTGATAGATAGCTACTACATCAATTCGCTGAGCTCATGAGGAAGTCAGATTAAGACGTCAACTCATACAGGAGACGTAAAAAAAAAAAAAAGGTAAGGGTTATACTACATGTAATGTACAAGTAGTATAACATTATTGGAGAGAAAAAACAATTTTTTCACCCTCTAATAATGGAATTTCACATGTACATTATAGACACCCTTATAAATACCATAATGCACATATAGAATTATCCAAAAAAGAATTCGAGTCTTGGCTATCGCTTCAAGAATGTAAGCTTATCCTCGACTTGCTTTCATTATCGATACATAACAGAAAATGAGAAAAAACCACAGTATATTCATAAAACCTTTTGCATTAAATTTAGTTGAAGACTTGTACATCAAATCTAGCGAATACATAGTCTACTGCCCTTCTGAATAAGATATCACCACATAAAATTCTAGTGATATACCAAGAAAGTTAGAATTATAAGAGACGAAACACAATCAACATATGCAACAAGTATCCAAGGCTGCTAAAAGATGCACAAACAGCTCTCAATGGATATAAGGTCGGGGATGTATACCTAAGTCGAGGTTTCCATCAATCACGGGCAGTGTCTCAAGATGACATAACCACAGCATCCTATGTATCGATAAACTAAGTGTCGTCGAAACTTTCTTCACAGTTGTTCAACTCATGAGAGTTTTCTGAAGAATTATTTTTGGCTTTCTCCATCTCCTGATCAATCAAAATCTCCTGCGAGCGGCAACTCCAACTGCAAAATGCCTTCTCGCCCCTGTCAAGACATCAATCGACCAAGAACCAATTATAACCTAACGGTGTAATACTTCATGCACGTCTAGGAGAAAAAATTGAGGAAAATTACACCATCTGTCCCCAATTTAATGCTTGAGTAGCAAGTTGGTCATCGGCCTTTTGTAATAGTTGCACAATTAGTCTCCAACGACGTTAACCATTCAAATCTTCGGTTAATTATCACATGGCCCTTATGAGAACATGCTTCACTTCATATTTCTGGGCATTGACCCAAATTGGGAAACAAAGCATAACTCTATAGCATTAGACATATGAAGGTCACACGACAATTTAACAAATATCTGAATGATTTTTGTGGTTGGAGACTGATTGTGCAAGGTTGAGTGCAATTTTCGCAAAAGATTACTGCATGTATCCAGAAATAAAAGAAGAAAGGATTGTTGGGGCAAACCTATACATGTAAATATCTTCCCCTTCCAATTTCTTCTTGCAAGAGTAACAGAATTTTAAGAAATCACTCGGAGGATAAGAAGCAATAATGTCAGAGAGTTCTGCCGCCTGCTGCAATGCAATATCCTCTTCGCTTTCCTTTAAAAAAGTGGTAACTTCATTGTTGTGACATTCCAAAACACAGTCACCAAAGATATGGGTAATTTTTGGGTTGGGGCCATGTTTTCTTACACAGGTATAGTCTTCAGAAAGCTCAATCTCACTAGGCGGGATATTTCCAATTAAACCAGTTCTGGAGCCGACGGATTCCAGAATTGAACTAAGGTTTTCCTGAGATGAATTGCATAACTTAAAGCTTCGTCCAATGACTTCCGATTGTGAAGGCACTGGCTTTATTGAGTTCTCGGAATTGAAATCACCACATCGCTGATCAGGCTTCAGGTTAGCTAAATGTGAAAAATGCATTCCAGAATCTAATGAGAAAGAGCGGAAATTAGAGCGGAAATTTCCATCCGATTCCTCTTCAAATGGGTCTTCCCCAATTCCAAACAGAACACCAGAATTGCCCTTTTGATGATTTGATTGTTTGCCTCGGGTACAAGGAAAAATCGTAATGTTTTTAGGCAGTGATTTTGGTGTATCAGATGAATCGGTGTGGGTTCTAAAATTTGGACTTTTTATCCTCATTTGTGGTCCAGAAAGAATATTTCTACTATTGGACAATAGGAGAACCTTCTCCGAGTGTTCACTTCCATTTTCAAGACAATGGATAATGCTTAAGCCTACTTTACTACAATCCCATCTCTTCTGATGCCCCTCATTTGATAATTTTGAGACCCTAGATGGATTGCTGAGATTCGAAAACAACTTAAAATCTAAAGGAGAAGTAGGGCTTCTAATTGAATCAGATTCTGAATTCTTGGGATTGAACCCCACAAACAGACTAGGAACATTAAAGACAGAAATGTTTTTAGTTTCCTGACCGAAAACATCAGAATGAAAATAAGGCTGTGAAACAGAATCAGACATCAATTGATCCATCAGTTGATTCTTCTGGTTGGATCTGCTCCTTTTCCTCAGCATTATCTTAAAATCTCAAAATCTTCCAAACAGCCAAGGCCCCTCTTAAAAAAATTATCTGCAAAGAATAATTACATTAATGAATTAATACTCAGAAGAAGAGACGGTAAGAAAGGTGAACACACCATGAACTGCAGGAAACTTAGCAATTAAGTGATGACAGTAGATATTAAACAAAGAATCAAATTGCAGTTTCTTTTCTCTTGGTTATTCGTTAAAAATCAAGATTTCCATCATGGAATTATAAAAGAAAATAAGGACAAAAAGACAGCAAGATAGTTGAAAACAATTAAGTGTGATACACTTCATACAATTGAGTCTAGATTAAGCAAATTTAGAAAGAAAAAATAATAAGAGATGAACATAAAGAATCAAATTGCAGTTTCTTTCTCGTGGTGATAAGTTAAAAGGCTAGATTTTACTAAAATATTAAAGAAAAATCTGTCAGAATCAATTGCATTATTATGTTAATTAACGTAGGATGAGGAAAAAAAGACAGCAAAAAAAAGATTAATTCTATGAGCTGCAAGAAACTTAATAAAATTATAAGAAACATTTCTTTTCTTGATTATAAGTTTAAAAAACAAGATTTCTATGAGGCAATGATTAAAGAAAACCTGTCAGAGAACAGCAATTATGAGATGCAACATTCAAAAAAAAATGAAGAACGTGAAGGACCTAAAAAAAGAGGAACAAACACATTTAAAAAATTCACACATCAAAGAAAAACAAAAAATATAAAACGAATGAACTTACCCACTAATGGAAGCCCAGATTTCAAACAAAAAATGCTGTGATCATGACTACTAAAAAATTAAGAAAACGAAAGAAAGAAAGAAAACTTTTAGTTTATAAATGTTTTTGATAAATATAACACCAAATAGCAGCAATTCCCGGATGACAAATAAACAAACAAAATAAGTAAATAAAAACAGTAAATTGGTAAAAGCCGTGCCTCTCTGAAGTCTAAGAACAACCAAGAAACTAATGCATTATGTTCAAATCCAATACACGAGCCATGGGATTCAAATGAATAAATGAGATGAATTCTGTGTAATATATAAACAAAAATATATACACACACAATAGTTATAGATACGGAGAAAGAGGGGAAATTGGGAAAACCCACCTGGTTTTTTTCCCAAAAGAAACTTCGGGGAAATGGGATTTGAGAGAAGACCCAAATGCAGTAAAAACTAAGAAATATCTAAAGAGAATCCCACCCCACGACCCACAGTTTCTTTGCGTGCGTGGTGCAGTACTGCACCTCTCAGTTGCCTCGAAATAGGAGAGCAGTGAGCTTCTCACGTACCACACCTCCGTATGTATTTATTACACATGGCATATGGTGTTTATTCATTTGTTTAATATTTTAATTAGGACTAATTTGTATTTGTATTTAAAAAAAAAAATGAGACTTTACACTGTTTGGAAGTGATTTTTTCTCCAAAAAAATTAATTTTTTGATCGTTATTTCACTATTTTAGTTGTCATATTTGACTTTTTCTCTTACTGGTAGATTTCACATTTTTCCTAACGGTCAAAAAATCAATTCTTAAAATCACTCCCAAACAGACTCAGTTTGTAAATATTTCTTTATTTTTTTATTTTTATTTATTTAAAAATGTTGATAAATTCGTCGGTAGAGTTATTCTGCATAATATTTGGTTGATTTGATTTACAAAAAATGTAAAGGACACACAATCGATTGACCTTTATTTTAGGTATTAAACACTACTACCATAAAAGAGTGAATATACCAGTTATTATTTATTCAGGACGTATTTTTACTTTCCTATTTTACCCTCAAATATTTTAGCAATCACTCTTTCCTCAAAGAAAATAAGAAAAGACTTGGGCGTAGTTATTCCATTTCAACCAAATTTTTGTGAATTTTTTTACTCTTGCACAAGTTTACTTGGCCCACATCTGCAAAATTTTGTGGCAAGAAAGGGGACAACAATTGCAGCCGTCGGTCAAAAATTGCTTGAAATGTCCAAAATATCCTTGTGATGGTGTAAAATTTTAAAAATTTAGGGATATCATGATATTTTCATCAATCTTTAATTTACTTGTTGAGAAAGTCAAAAATTGCTGCAAAACAGTGGTTTTTTCTATATATTTTTCCTATTTTTCTCCATTCATTTGCGTAATATCTATAAAAAAATATATACTACATTTCTCCGTTCCTTCATCTCTCCAGAGAGATGCCCATATTTTTTTTCCCACACTCTAAGAATATACTGTTCATTTGTGAAGTGTTTTCATTTTCTCATTTTATCCTTCAATCCTATTTTAATTTTTCAACTTAATTAATATATCACTACTACTATAAAATTAATTTTTTAAATAATCTAATAAATTTTTTGACGTCACTTAGAAAATTTTCTAATAAACTTTTAAATTATTTTTAGTGTCAAAAGAGATATCATTTAAAAAATTAAAAATTTCGATAACAAACTAACTTTAAAAATTTATTGACGATTGTATGGTAGTCGAATCCATAAATCTTCTATATTCTCTCGAACTTGAAACTCGTTTCAAGAACTATACCATAAACACATTGAGTGGTCTAAATGAATATCGAAAAAAATTAAACGTACATCAAACATGTGTATTCAAAAATGCGTATAACTCGTCTTTTTTCTCTAAAAAAATCATTCATTTTATTAATGTTTGTTATTTTTTCGCGATACTTTTCTTAATAATAATTTACATCATCTTCTTAAAAAAAAAATTATGTGTATGACGTTAATTATTTTTTTATACGTAGAAATTCCTAATAAAATTATTATCACTTTATAATTTATATGGTTTATAAATTGTTATACTATTTTTCCTACTTTTCTTCATTCCTTTACGCAATATTTATATATAAAAAAAACATTTATGGCATTAAAATAAAATTTAATATATATAAACTAACAGCGCGCATTTAATATATATATTGGCATCTCTGCGCTAAAAATAAAATAAAATAAAATAATAAAATATTAATATATATACTGGGCATCTCCGCACTCGCAAAGCGAAGCAACATCTCTTCGTGCTACACGGAGAGACAGCTCTCCACTCAGCGCGAAGAGAGTATTTGGCACAATTTTTTCCCTCCTTTCGTAATCGCTTCTCTATCAATCACATCCACTAATTCTTCTTTCACTTTCTCTTTCCTTTCTCTCACTTTTCCTCGTTCATATACCATTTCCTTTTCCCTTCGGCTCATTTCCCTTTCCCTTCTCCTCCAAGAGCAAAGGCGTCTCTGGCACTTCGACCCTCGCCCACATGACTCCTCACAACTGCTTTACCACATCTTCTCCTCTAACAGAGGTTTTCTTCCGAGCCCCGTCAACATGGCTGCGGCTCGAACCCATCTCAAGTGAACATGGTGGTTGAGGGTATTTTAGGCCAACTTGCTTGCAGCACCTGCTTCTTGGGTCTAGATCCAGTTCTACTGCTATTAGTGGTGTCGTCTCAGGTACTGTAAAAGGAATTCCTATTCTACTTCACACCACCTGAAGGTTCGTCTATTTTTATGTATTTATTCATGTTATTTCATAAAATTTGAATATATGTGATTCTGCAGCTTTGTTTTTATATCTATACCACGAAGGATGGAGAAAGATTGATTTTAATGAGCATCTTTAGAAGTTTAATGGCATTCCTGTTCTTTTTATCTTTGGGCTCTGAAAAATGTCCAAACGTGGATATAAATTGCATATTGTCTTGAACTTTTTTTTTTCTGTTTATTATATATGATTGTATGTAAATGCGAATGTGCATTTCTCTGTGTATATGAATTCTATTGGTAACTTTAGTTTACAATTTGAATTTTGGTTTCATATGATCTAAGATGAGCTGATTTTAGCTTTATCCAAAAATTACCTCTTCTTTATATTGATTGCGGACAAAAATTAAAGGAATGTTGAATAAATTGCTAAGAAATATCACTTTTTGTGTGTAATGCCAAGTGGGATAGCTAAAATTTGCATATCAGTTCAACTTCTCTAATTTAATTTGCATATAAGTAAGTGGGAAAAATTATCTTGAATTTATATTGACAGCTTGCAGGTATTCTGCCACTGGCAATGGTGCACACCTTAAGCAACCTTTTCACCAACACAAGTCTTGGAAAAGTTGCTATTTCATTCACTCACACTGTAAAAGCCATGGAGCCCCTCTTCTTAGTTGTACTCTCAGCTATGTTCCTGGGACAAATGGGTGATTCATTTTTATTTTAATTTCCTTCCTTCTGTGCATGTAAATTTAAGATGATTAAATTATTTCCATATTCCATGAAAGCTGTCCTCAATTTTTATGGAGGTATAGACTTCAGACCAGGTTCCTGGTTGAGAATGTGATGGTATTGTGTATTTTGGTTATTGTTTGAGTTGTTCAACTTTTATATTTTGGTGTCTAATTTTGCTCTCCTCTTTGAGCAGTTCCCTACAATATGGGTTGTTTATTCTCTTTTACCTATTGTTGGTGGAGTGGCATTGGCATCAATGATTGAGGCCTCTTTTAATTGGTGAGAAGTAGGAATGGATTCGATGGCAATAACTCTTACTGCCACATCTCTTTAAAGCATGGTAAATACATTTGTTTGAGATATTCACATAGAAGTTCTTTTTTGTGAGTGTGTTTTTTGAAGGGCTGGTTTTTGGAGTGCAATGGCCTCAAGTTTGACCAATCAATCTCGAAATGTCCTTAGCAAAAAGTTCATGGTCAAGAAAGAGGTATATTTCACTCTCAATTTTGTTTCATTCCAATAGTTAACAATGAAGCGCTGGTCATTTTCTCATCCACTTAAATCACTTTTGCCGAAATCAGTTGTGGTAAATTTGTTACCTAATACTGTCTAGTTGTGACTAATTGCCTTTCAAGTTATGCTCAAGTTTGAATTGCTTGCTTGGAATACGTACATGATCTGTTTGGTTTTCATGCAGGAATCTTTGGATAACATCACTCTCTTCCGATAATCACAATTATGTCATTTTTCTTGTTGGCCCCTGCAGCTATATTCATGGAAGGAGTTAAGTTTACCCCTACTTTCATTGAAATTGCTATAAGTAAATCTCAAGAACGAAAATGCTTATAATTCTTATTTATTATGCGTTTGATAATGAGCATATTTCATATGTTTGATCAACGATTTTGTTCATAAGAAACAGAAAAATGTAGAAATTGACTATTGTATTGTTTTCTTCACATGGGTTGAATGTCAAGCAGATTTATACTAGGTCCCTCATTGCTGCTCTTTACTTCCATGCATATCAGCAAGCTGTTCAGATTTTCAGTTAGCGCTGAAGCAATGATTATGTCATGTGCATTGTTAAAGTAAATGCTTAAACCCCCCAAAGCAAAATGCAAAGAAGTATATATTTGCTAACCTTTTCATAATGAAAATGGTCTTTGCCATAGTTGCTAATCTTTTCATATTGATATTTCTTACAAAAGTTTGTCTGCAGGTTTCATACATAATATTGCAGAGGGTATCTCCCGTCACACATTATGTAGGTAACTGCGTGAAGTGAGTGGTGGTCATCGTTACCTCTGTTCTTTTCTTCCGCGCTCCAGTTTCACCCATTGACTCTTCTGGTATTTCTCTTATAATTAATGAACTTTAGTCGCATGTTTGTTCTAATGGACAAGACAGGCTAAAAT